GTTTCATTAAGTCAATACAGACACACTGAATATTTCATGCCCCCCATCTGTGAGGATATCACTTATGTTTGTGCATGACATACTCTTTCTAGATTCCTGTAGTAGTAACTATATTCAGTGTCATTATTGAAGAGTCGCATAGGTATGTAGTGTGTCAAACATGAGCACATGCAACAGACGCGTCAATAGCTCTGAGATGTTGACAGTGTGATTAGCAGTTGAAGAACATGCCTATGCCTATGTCACACTGATTGGATGCTTTGATGAAAATGGGAAAATGGACGATTAGGAACAACAATGAAAAGTGCAAGGTTATTGTTGATTGAAAAAGCTACCAAAGACACATGTCTGAACGCAACTAATGGTTTAGCACATACACGTGCAATACATGACAAGTAACAGTCACTGTGGGTGTGAAATGGTTCATTCCTGGCGAAGCGTTACCGGAACTGCATGCTTTGAAGTTATACTTTTATCTGCGTGACTCCTCGATTATGACACTGAACACACATACAAATATAACAACACATTAACATAAATATTCAATAAAATATCAAAACATTTTAGTTGCTTTGTTGTTCTTCATATTGTAATAACCGTTACTTTTGCTGTAGGTCATCCTGAAACTCATAGGGGCCCTGAACTGGAACTATTTTGGCAATGTGTTCGACTCTGATACCTACGGCCGAGACGTAGCCTATGCCCTCAGAGCATCTGCAGAGTCGGAGGACATATGTATTCCAGTGTTCCTTCCAATAGACCAGGGTCTAACTCACAGGCAACGGCTGAGTTAATTCCATCAACTCATCCGACGTCTTCAGAGGGATGCAGAAAGTCCTGTCTTGGCGTTGGTGTTTATTCGTCGAAGTGAAATAGCAAAGGACATGTTTGAATACATTCAAGGAAACTTGCATCACACAAACTTCCAAATGATTGTTTCAGAGTCCTTAGCTCTCGACGAAGCATATCTGAAAGGAAATGATGGGAATATAATTCCAAGAGCTAAAGGACTCTTGACACCAACTCCTTACTATGGACAATTCTGGACTGACCTTCACTCAAATATGACGCTAATGATGCAACAGGTGCAAAATAATGATTGGCTGCTCCTGCACCTGGAACGAATCACTGGATGTCAGATTCCATTTGATCAAGTGTGTATGGATATGGCTCAAGAATATGCTCAAAATAACAAGAAACTGCCATTGTACATATACTACGCTCTACGAGGTGCATCGTCATTTGTAAAACAATTAAAGATCTACACACCATGGAATGTCCTGCAAATAATGGACTTTGTGATCAGAAGAAAAATATGCCCAAATGAAGAGTTGTTTCCAAGATAGAACAAACCGTTATCAGTACCACTGTGGACTTTGAGCCCGAATTAAGTGTTGGTAAAAAGGCATACACGTACGATGTCTTCAACTTAAAGAATAATGGAAGTTCCTTTGAATTATATAAGGTATGATGTGTAAATTTAATTTAACTGTCATTTAATATTTTTGATGGAATGGTTCTCATTTTTATCAGTATGCTTTACGAATACAACGTTCTACATCTTTCAACAATATTTTTTAAACCCCGAAATCAAAATCAGATCTGGTTATACAATCCTGAACATTTGCAGATGGGAGAATTTTACAATGGACAGTTACACATGGCCGACGACAATATTGCATACGATAAGGATCAACAAGGTACAGATGCAGTTCATGCACAATGCCAGCCAGAATACGACTGCCACATGTGCTTAAAGACTGATGAGACAGAGAAGATTCTATACATTCCCGGTGATTTATACATCAATGGTATGGCACCAATACACAACAAGGGAGGTAACTTCATTAAGTGTGGGAGTATAAGTCTCTAAGTGTGGACCTGACAATAGCAATGCAATTCTACCTTGAACAACAAGTCGGATAATTTGGTGCAACACTTGGAAACGAGACAATTGGCCTTGTAGTAGTAGACACATGCTCCAATCCCTACAAGATACAAGAGCAAATAATCATATTGAATGATGAAAGCTTACGTCTAGGCCATGGTTAGAAAAGTTCGAAAATTGGTCCAGCGTTCAGCTTCGTAACTGTACCTCTTTCAACATTATTGACTGAAATCAAGACGTTGCAGATCCCCTATTCTGCCACGGTTTCGAGCTTGAACAAGAGATCTTATCATCCTTATTTTATGAGGGCGAGTTCACCAGACCACAAGCAAGCTGTTATCATGCAGCTGGCTGAAATGACTTCCTCGAAATACATACAGATTATCTTCTCGAATGAGGAATATGGAATAGCTGGGAAAAGGGTTCTTCTTGATGCTGCACGGAAGCACGAGATATGCGTGGCACAGACCATTGAAGCACAGAACACGGATGATCCTACTAAACATACAGGCTACATATCTAGGCCCACAGGTTACAGGTATGCCAAAGGTGTCGTCGTGTTTGCCCTGTCGTATCTTACACGTTTGATAATGGAGAATATGGATAGTGGAGAATTTGCCTTTGTTGGTGGAGAGAGTTTGGCTCAAATGACGGAGCTACTGAACCCAAGCTTACTCACATCTATAACGGTAACTCAAAAGCATCCTGAGATTGCAGCCTTCGGGGAACATTTTAGAAATATAGACATTCAAAAGGATAAATCCTTGGCTACAAGATTTAATGCTTATCAATGCATGTATAACGTTTATTGACACATAAGGTAACGCCTATGCACAAAATAAACATAGGCATAACAATCCGTTTGATTATGAGGGTTAATTCAGCTCTGCAGTGCGTGTTTAATGTCTGCTGATACCACAAGTGTGATTATGTAAAGTTTCATGCGGGAATATTTTAATATCATTATTAGATTGGTTATTCTACGTGACTCCTAATGGGATGTCCTCAGATCTTTGTTTAGCGGTAGCGAGAACTAGGATCTGATTTGAATGAGATTGGTAATATAATGATCACTTCCGTGTGACATCTTCTGATTACTTGTTTAATATTTGTTTCAGGTCCCTATTCCACGATATACACAAGGAGTCAGAAGCATTGACACCAACAGAGAAGCTTTACATGCCATGACACACTTGTAGATCTTTACGAGTCGTCACAATTACCCCAAACTAGTTGCTGAAAATAGGCTACTCCAATGACCGTTCACAACGTCTACAAAGTGTTTGACACTTCTGTCACTATGAACTGTCTGATTATGCAATACATGTATCATGTTGTTTTTGTATAATTATCATTCATGTAATTTCTTGATACTTTGAATTCAATGAATAGTTCAACTTGCAATTTTAACACAAATATGCTACCGACACACATAGTGTTGGTTGTTTGGTTTGTTGTTTAACGCCGCACTCAGCCATATTCCAGCTTTATGACGGTGGTCTGTAAATAATCGAGTCTGAACCAGACAATCCAGTGATTAATATCATGAGCATCGATCCACGTAATTGGGATACGATGACATGCATCAACCAAGTCAGCTAGCCTGACCACCCGATCCCGTTAGTCGCCTCTTACGACAAGCATAGTCACCTTTTACGGCAACCATGGTTGCTGAAGACCTATTCTACCCCGGATCTTCACGGGTCGACATACATAGTGAAAACGCTTAATATAAAGAAATAAGTATCCTTGTACAGTGCATTTTATCGATAAGAACCCGGTTTATTCATATCCCCTAAGTACATGAGGAAAGTGAAGCTCGAACAAAAATAACTTCAGCGATAAAGAATCCCTGAAAGGAAAGTAACGCTTTACACCACTAACTCGCCTGACTGCAAATTTGTCGAAATTGAAACGCATATTAGGACATCACATCCGGATCGTAGCTCCCTGAACTAAGTTGAACGAATAATATAACCATTATCTTTTGTTCACTGTTATCAGCATGGTGCACTGTGATGTATTTGTCATAATGCAGTAGTATGCTATTACATACAGAATTATGTTGGTTGGTTGGTTTGTTGTTTAACGCCGCACTTAGCACTATTCCAGCTATATGACGGCGGTCTGTAAATAATCGAGTCTGGACCAGACAATCCAGTGATTAATTTCATGAGCATCGACCCAAACAGTTGGGATCGATGACATGCATCAACCAAGTCAGCGAGCCTGACCACCCGATCCCGTTAGTCGCCTTTTACGACAAGCATAGTCACCTTTTACGGTAAGCATGGGTTGCTGAAGACCTATTCTACCCCGGAATCTTCACGGGTCACATAATTATGTATCATGTGGAGGAATAAATATATAGTTCAGTTTATTTTATGGTGAATCACCTTTATGTTATTGATTGTCAGTTATATACACATGAAATAATAGAGTGAGTGAGTGAATATGGTTTTACGCCGCTGTTAGCAATATTCCAGCAATATCACCAGAAATGGGCTTAACACAATGTGAAAGAATAGAATATAAGTGCATTTGTAGAATATATTAACGATAAGAGATCGAAGATACGCGTCAAAATATTTTGTTAGTAATTATATTTTTTAAACATAAACAATGTACAAGTATCCTTTGAGTGCCTTTTTGGATATAATTTCACTAACATAAGATATTCAGCTAGAAATCAAGCATAACATAAAAGTCAACTGAGAAATATAGTTTCTTTTGCTCATCAGTTTAAATGTAATATGCGTTAAAGTATACATCTATAATACCAGAAGACACAAGACACCTTCGCACAAGAGCTCAAATCATATTACATATTACATCCACACTATCAAATGCAGATGGCGGTGCATTATATTTTGTCATCTTATAAGCTCATCGCATGTAAAGTACAAGACTGTCTGTCACAGTCGAGAATAGCCAGGCCTTGTCCTCTGACATATTTATAGATGCGCTCTTGTTAAAAATCTAACCATATTCTGCTTCTTGTGTACACGAAGGGCTATTGAAATGTTGGTATCTAATTTCAGGATGTTGTATCCGCATCAACACAAATTATGTTGATGGTTGATTGTAACTCTAACCTCTTTGGAAAAGTCATGTAATAACGACTTTCTTCCTTGTGTTGCTTTCAGGAGATACTGGCTCAGACGATAACCAGGTTATTCAGTTTCAATCTCAAACGTGATCTGTCACATGGCGGGATTGAGTATCAAATCTGTAAGTAAAGTACATTTCTTACGCCGATATAATACTAAATCATTCCTTTTATCAAACATGCTTGTCTAAGTGGCGAGACTCAATAACAATGGTGTTTCGATATGAATTATTTCTTAGCATTAGATGAGGAAAGTTGTTTTATTCGTAGGTTTTGACCTACATCAGTTGTGTGTTTTAAAAGTGGAAATTATATTCAAAAGTTAAACTGTTTTACTACTGGTAAAGGTATACACGTGTGAAAATATACAAATAATTAAAGTGACAAAAACCTTCATATAATCGGATTCTTGTTTACACGAAGGGCTTTTGAAATGGTATTTAATATCAGGACGTTGTATCCTCACGGACACAATAATGGCTGATTGTAACTCGAACCTCTATGGAAAAGTCATGTTGCTTTCAGGAGATACTGGCTCAGACGATAACCAGGTTATTCAGTTTCAATCTCAAACGTGATCAGTCACACTGACGGGATTGAGTATCAAATCTGTAAGTAAATTACATTTTCTTACGCCGATATAATACTAAATCATTCATTATATCAAACATGCTTGTCTAATGTGGTCTGTCTTAATGACAATGTTTCGATATGAATTATTACTTTGCATTAGATAAAAAAAAATGCCTTTTTCATACTACAACAAATTTGATATACATAAGTTGTGTGTTTTAAAAGTGGAATGTATATTCAAAAGTTAAACTGTTTTACCACTGATAAAGTTGCGTACATATACAAGTAATTAAAGTGACAAAAGCCTTTCTATAATCTTAAGATATATCTGCTAAAAGCAGGGGACGAGGGGTAGCCTAGTGGTTAAAGTGTTCGCTCGTCACACCGAAGACCCGGGTTCGATTCCCGACATGAATACAATGTTTGAAGCCCGTGACATAGCTGGAATATTGCTTAAAACGGCATAAAACAATACTCACTCACTCTGCTAAAAATAAAAAGTCGTTTGTACAATTTCGGCTATGTCATGAACATAATTTTTGTGATGATACTAAGTGTTCACGAAAAGGTGAGAAGGAGTTCTTCTGGCACATGAGAGAACGAAACGGAAATAGATGAAAAGGATCCTGAAAAAGGGGGTCTATATCAAAAGAGGGCTGGGAGAATTCACATTTATTAATGTACATGGCAGCTAATAATGATAACCGACTTTCAGATAAGAAGATTCCTTTTCCATTCAATTTTAAATTGGCTCAGTTTCATACGAAATGTAATGCATGCAGGCAGTCATAAACATTAATTTCTACGAGAACGCTGTCGGTATAAAATGTTTGGCATTGGCATGCATATGCCCCCCTAATTGTCAGTCGATGACATGACGAAATCACGTAACCACTTAAACTGCAGTCGAGTCGTTACGTTAGATTCACAACATCACTAATGCATACTCACGCACACAAGGGACATTCTTCTTCCCTCTGTTGTTCATCAGTCACTGTGTATTAATTGCACCTTTCAGATTGTTACCGGTCTTTACCTAACTTTGATGAGTCTGAGGTTGAAGATTTTTCTTTGGGCCGTTTAACAGAATATCAGCAGATTTACAATGGCCTGAGGAATATTAGCATATTCTCGTTCAGCCTAAGTTTAATGAGAAGGTGACTGTTGTAACTCATTGGACGATGTTCAAGCCAGGAATTATCAGCAAGTAAAGTCTTCAGTTCTCAGGGTTTATAAGGTGACAAGTGAAGTGTATCGTCATCAATTTCGAGGTCTCAAAGAGGCAGGTTCTGAAAGTTACGCTAAGAAGGGCAAGTTGTTTGATAGTCGGACTAATGCAGAGTCTATATTAAGGAGTTGTCCGAGCTTAGACATTTAGTGGTATTAGAAAAGGTCAAGGATAGTGTGTTGCCTGGTTGGTAAATTCTCTCTTCAGAACAGAAAGTGGGGAAGTTGTCAGTTGTAGCTGAAGTGTGAGACAATTATGTTCTGGTACATAAGGTTCAGTCATCAAGTGGCTTCTCTTCTCAGAATAGTTCAGGTTTCCGTAGTAATGACTAGTTCAATAATCGCTATCGTAGCCAGAATGGTGGACATACCATTGGCAATGGTAGTCGTGGTCAAAGTCAGGTTCTTAGTATTGTTAGTAGTGGTCAGTTTGCCCAAGCTAGGGTTAGAATGGTAGCAATGATAGTTCGCTGGCATAGATACTAGACAGGAACCTCTAGCTTTTTTCCATTGAGTTAGTCTATGATCATACCCCCAAGGGCCCCTTGAAGTTGGTAAAAGTCAAGTGGGGAGATGATAATCCATCTGAGAATTTGCTAGCCGATAAGATAAAGAATAGCCTCTGGCAAGCTACTAATTTAGCTAAGCAGCACTTGTTTACAGCTCAGTTTAAGGCAAATGCTCCTTTTGACAAGAAGGCTCGTGGTAGACAATTTAAAGCTTGTGAACATCCAAAAGTCCTCCCTCAAAGCTGAGTGCTTTGGTCCTTACACAGTTAAATGCCAGGTTAATAATGTAGGGGTATATTATCAGAACCTCAAATCGAGGTAGGAAGGAGAGATATTGTCACGTTAACTTGCTGGAGGTGTTACGCGCTAGGCGTGACACACAGCCAAACTGAAGTATCTTCCGTATCAACACAGAAGAATTGCAGACTGATCACTGATCACGTAAGCTAGTGCCCGGATGCTCCAGGTACGACCAACGCCATGAGGTTTGGCGTGGACGTGGGCAACGCCAAGACCCTTAAGCAGCACCTTCTCCATGCTGTGAAAGGAACGTGTTTCACCCAAGACAGCTAATGTGGAAACCATCCTGAACTTTCGAACGCTACTGACAAAGCAGGACGTGTGACATTTAACTGTTTTGTTCATGAACATGCCAATGTTGGTTGGTTGGTTGGTTTGTTGTTTAACGTCACACTCAGCAATATTCCAGCTATATGACGGCGGTCTGTAAATAATCGAGTCTGGACCAGACAATCCAGTGATTAATATCATGTGCATCGATCCACGCAATTGGGATCGATGACATGCATCAACCAAGTCAGCGAGCCTGACCACCCGATCCCGTTAGTCGTCTTTTACGACAAGCATAGTCACCTTTTACGCCAAGCCTGGGTTGCTGAAGACCTATTCTACCCCGGAATCTTCACGGGTCGAACATGCCAATGACCATGAAGATGTATTTCACTGTGTACATAATATTATGTGTTGTTCAGAAGAGTTCTACATGTTTCCATATGTAGCCAATTTTCTCAAAATTCAGCAGGGGCATAGCTCTTTCACCTCTCGTAACTGTCCGGCGTTCGGCAATGTCCGCCAGTCGTCACCGTCTGGTACCTTTACGTTCCTCAGCGTATTGAGATGAATTTGTTGTCGTAAATGTTATTCATTAAACAGACAGGGGCGGTCCGGTAGCCTAGTGGTTAAAGCGTTCGCTCGTCACGCCGAAGACCCGGGTTCGATTCCCGACATGGGTACAATGTGTGAAGCCCATTTCTGGTGTCCCCCGCCGTGATATTGCTGGAATATTGCTAAAAGCGGCGTAAAACCATACTCACTCACTCACTCATTAAACAGGCAGTTTAATCACATACCTTTATCATGTATTGATTTGATATATGATATCTCATAAATGTATGCAAGTTTATTCATGTATTCAAAGTGTTTAGTAACTTCGATTTTCACGCAATTGGGTTTTCCTTATTTTAGATAACAATTCAGTTCGCTAGGTTATATCGTTCCACACGCTAACAAATTGAGGTTGCTCTCACCGCCGTCAGCGTGTATGGTTCATAACACTTGACTATATCTAGAGCGGCCACCAACAGGATCCGCAAGAATATTTACGGGTCGCTTTGTTAATGGAAGGTCAGGTCAAAACTTTTGCAAGTAAGTAATTATGGGGTAGTTTTCAATCTTGTACCGGCTTACTCTGGTGTTAAGGAGCTAAACCTAGCTGTGGGTGTTTAATATATTATACCCCGTTTTTTGCAGTAATCCACGAATAGCCAATTTGCCTAGATTGCCAAGCATAGGCCAAGTACCTACATGTGTAATTACAATTGGGAGTCAGGTTACTCTGTTGGTCAAGTACCTATTTACGATTGGGTGTAGGGTGCTCTTTAGGTCAAGTACCTACATGTGTAATTACAATTGGGAGTCAGGTTACTCTGTTGGTCAAGTACCTATTTACGATTGGGTGTAGGGTGCTCTTTAGGTCAAGTACCTTTTTACGATTGGGTGTAGGGTGCTCTTTAGGTCAAGTACCTTTTTACGATTGGGAGTCAGGTTACTCTGTTGGTCAAGTACCTATTTACGATTGGGTGTAGGGTGCTCTTTAGGTCAAGTACCTTTTTACGATTGGGAGTCAGGTTACTCTGTTGGTCAAGTACCTATTTACGATTGGGTGTAGGGTGCTCTTTAGGTCAAGTACCTTTTTCATTGTCGTGAGTCTAGAATCTCTGTAGCTCAAGTACCTGTATTTTAGAGAAGTCTAGACTTTCCTTGCTCAGCCCAAGAGACTTTTAGACAATATTCTTTTTGTCTTATTTGTCCAGAGACTTATTTTAATAGAGGACCCTCAGTACTTATTTCTCCCTATCTAACCAAGACAAGGTTATTATCTTTAGAGTGTTGGGTTAATTAACTCTCATGTGTAAATTGGTCACATCCAGCTGTCTATGCATCTCGGTGATTGTGTTGTCAGAGTGTTGATTTAGCTATCTTCTGTTATTGCTGTTATTCAGTTGCTCAACTAGTCCGCCTGTATATATGTTCTCTTTTGTTAATCAGGGATCATTATCAGTGTCAATTGGGGTCTTTATTCTTTAAGTTGCCTCTCCTTGGTTGCAACTGGCTGTGCACTTTTTAAACGGTGCACTCTTACCACGTTTATCTATTATTACTTAACTATACTTATTCGTATTTAATGACACTCTGGAGCACATATCCGTGAAACGTCCACATGCTTGAACAGTGTACCAGGATGGTAAAACTGATGTCTTCATCAGTGTTCTAGAGGGTTCCTTGTATTCCCTGACGCCATCTTTCCACAAAAATGTTAATTTTATCTAATGCAAATAAGGCTGTTGATCCGTTAAGGGGCAAGAAGTGCAGTGAAAATAAAAAAAAACGTTCTCAAAATACATTCATTTCCTCAAGGTATTGGTTTTGCTTATTTCAATTTGTATCGCGTCATTGTGTAACATTTTACAATCTGCTTCCTCATTTTCGTGAATATTGCATATTTGTATATAGCTCATGCTGATTGTAAAAACGAGACAAATTGATTCGTATCATGCTACCTTTTGATCTTATTTCAGTATAACTAAACATTTTTGGCTGCAAATGGTGTGTCTAAGCCAGGCTTGGGTATTAGTCCTCCACCTCCACCTTGCACTGTCCATTGATGGAGAAGTGGACATGCCAGGAGAGGTGGTGCTAGGAGGGCTCCTTGCAGTACAGCAATATGTGGATGGAACTTGTACTAAACTGAATTACGAGTCTGTTCAGACCAACGAGGCAGTGAGGTGGTTCTTCAGACAACTAAATGACAGGAACTACATTCCCAACGTCACACTAGGTATGAAGTTAACAATGAAATAACCAGTTCATTTAATGACTTGGAAAACAGACTCAATGCGAAAGAAACATGACAACGAGATCGAGCTACTTTGGTGTTTTGATAATTATGCCCAGACACGATCTGTCGCATAATCAAAGATTTCTTCACTTCTTGGTGCATCACTAATTTTAATCTTTATGTCATGATAATTAGTGTCCATGGCCTGACCAATTTCTTTTTCACATTTCCAGGTTTCCATGCTTTCAAAACTTGTGGCCAAGACGAAAAAGCCGTTGCACAAACAATAAAACTGATGGACAAATACATAGACCGACAAGGGCCCCAGCTTTTTGGTATGTTTTCAGGGTATCTTAAAAGATTTCATTCTTTGTTTTTTGACGCCACAATATTCCAGTTAAATGACGGCGGCCTGAAACAATCGAGTCTGGGCTAGACAGTTCGGTTAATAGTATGCAGTAGAACACACTGTGTCAAAATAGTGTTTGTGCTTGAGCGTTCGTGTGTTACTTAACGCCTCTTTAAGCAACGTTCCAGCTATATGACGGTGGCCTATAAATAATCTGGACCATACATCCAGTGATGATATCATAAACAACCATCCGTGGTACTATCGTGGTAAGGTTACACGCCACCAACAAAGTTCTCCGTGCACCATGGGTTGCTGGGGACCAAATGTATTCCAGAATCCTCACTGTATATGTGAAAATGGACATTTACTGAAAGTACTTTCCGGATTTTATTATTTTATCATCTGAAATATATCCCTGTTTTTATATCACAGCAATACTTGGACCTGAGTACAGTACAGAAACCCAGGCCGTGTCTCGTTTACTGAGTTCACTCCCGGAACAAGATCGTCTATTACAGATCAGCTTCTCCGCCACCGCCGCCATCTTATCTGACAAGAGGATCTACAAAAACCTGTACCGGGTCATAGAAACGGATGACGTACAGGTTGATGTAAGACGAACTTTGTGTTTCCGAAATGCGAAAAGAAAAATGGAATGCATGCGTGTGCGTTTTTGTTTAACGCCGTTTTTAGCATTATATCAGCTGTATGACAGTGATGTACCTAACCACCCTATCCCGTGTAACAGACTTTAGTTCTTACCTGGGGCCAGTTCTTTCCACCCATGACCAGACCTTCCCCGCAGAATTGAGGTGAGAAAGGTTCAGCCAAGGCCAGTTCTATCTCATCGCACGCCACTTCTTCTCAACTAAGGTCATTCTTCCCCAGGACATGTGGAAAGAGTTTTTCGAGTATCTCCCATTATATATTTCTCATATTTTGGAAATTGTGTATTCATTATCACATATTGTATATCATATTGTAGATATTGTTCTGTAATATTCACTTATTGAAAGATTTCTATTATTAATTATTGAACATAGGGATGTTAATGTTAATTGATGATTGACAAATGCCAAGTTTCTATGCTGCCAGTGATATTCATAATGTTTCTGTATTCATTTCTCCGTACTATTCAATAATCGTTTAATTGATAGGTGAGTGAGTGTTTGAGTATGGTTTTACGCCGCTTTTAGCAATATTCCAGCAATATCACGGCGGGGGACACCGGAAATGGGCTTCACACATTGTACCCATGTCGGGAGTCGAACCCGGGTCTTCGGCGTGACGAGCCAACGTTTTAACCACTAGGCTACCCGGCCGCCCCTTTAATTGATAGGAAAATAGAAACATGATATATATAATTGATGTGTGACGAAGGAATATCGACGCAAATTAATTCCGCTGTTTAGGTAATGAAATAATAAAATTCTCAACGAATCCAATGCAAATCAACTACAGCACTCCTCCTTGTATAATATATAGTATATATATATATATATATATGTGTGTGTGTGTGTGTGTGTGTGTGTGTGTGTGTGTGTGTGTGTGTGTGTGTGTGTGTGCGACTGTTGTCATGGAAAGAGTTTCATTAAAACTGGCTTAGGATATGCCGTTGAGGTTTAGCTTTAGCCGAACCCTTTATGTCTAAGGTAAAGAACTGGCCAGGGGAAAGGTTTAGCCTGATACACCGGGTCATATGAACGGACGCTTTATCTTTATCGCAGGTTGTAAAAGGCTATGCAAGTGTATGTCCTGCTGGGTAACAGATTTCCTCTATACTGTAACTGGCCGAGATTACACGAAACCCAGAAATGTCAGAACGATAGATAACATTGCCATGCTTCTCTTGTGAGATGTTCTAACTCAAATTGAATGTTAGACTAATCTTTCCTGTAGGTCATCTTGAAGCTCATGGAGGCTCTTAACTGGAACTATGTTGGCATCATGTTCGACTCTGATACCTACGGCCAAGAAGCAGCCTATGCCTTGAAGGCATCTGCAGAGGTGCATGATATATGTGTTCCCGTGTTCCTTCCTATAGACCTAGGCTTAACTAATCATCAGCAAAAGAGTGTCTTCGATCAATTAGTCCAAAACCTTGGGAGAAGTGCAGAAAGTCCTGTATTGGCGCTGGTGTTTATTGGTCGAGGCGAAACCGCAAAGAACATGTTTAAATACCTCCAAATCCATTTGGGACACACAAACTTTCAAATGATCGTTTCGGAGTCATTAGGACTGGATGAAACACGGGTCAGAGACAGCAACGGAGACGTTATCCCCAGAACTAAAGGACTCTTAACACCAAGTCCTCCTCATTATGATGTCGAGTTGTTCAGTCGATTTTGGACTGACCTGCACTCAAACATGACACTGGTGACGAACCATGTACAAGATAATGATTGGCTCCGCCAGTATCTGCAAGAAATCACTGAATGTCAGATTCCTTTGGATCAAAACTGTATGGATAAAGCTAAAGACTATAATCGGAATGATAAAAAGCTTCGGCTGTATATCCACTACGCTCTACGGGGTGCTGCAGCATTTGCAAAAACAATTAAAGAAATACACTCTACAGAATGTGCTCCCAATGCTGGACTCTGTGATCAGATGAGGGGTCTGCTGAAACTGCGAATGATTTCAAAGATGGAACAAATCAATGTCAATACCACTTTGGACTTTCAGCAAGAATTTGAGAACGTTAACCTAACTTTTGATTTTGAGAAAGGAGAAATATTTTATGTAAGGAAGGATCAACCAACATACGTTGTCTTCAACCTACGCGACAAGGGAAATATATTTGGATTTTACAAGGTGCAGTACCAAAGTTACATAATGCCTTCTTACATCTACTAACAATATACAGTAAACAACGTTTATAACCAACACGCTTATAACGAACTGACGGATATAGCGAACTTACTTTTTTGTCCCGACTATTTGCTGTAGTTATGCTGTATATGTGCTTATAACGAACTACGGTTATAACGAACTAAAATTAGAGGTCCCTTTGAGTTCGTTATATCTGTAGTTTACTCTAAACAAATTACAAACTGTAGATGCCTGTACGATCTTGATTGACAAACAGCAATTTTTACAAAGTAAATCAGCTTTATGGGGGACCAATGTCATATAACAGTCAACTGGTATACTTGTATCCTTAAGCTGTAGCATGTAATGTACATCATTGTTTTTGCAGGTGGGGGAGTTTACAGGGGACAAACTTCACATAACGGACGACATCGTGGCATACGATAACAAGCAACAACAAACACACGCGGTACAAGCACAATGTCAGCCAGAGTATGACTGTAAAATGTGCGTGACAACTGACCAGTGTGCGGAAATTCTATACATACCAGGCGATTTTTACATCATTGGTATGGCTGCCATACATATGAGAAACACCATTCAGAAATACGGGAGTGTTGATCACACATCAGCAATGCAATTTGCTGTATCTAGCTTGAACACCAAGTCTGGTATTTTCAGTAAGACACTTGGAAACAAATCAGTTGGCTTAGTCGTGATCGACACATGTTCCAGTCCATTCAGGATACAAGAGCAAATTATCAACTTGAATAATGGTGATTTGAGGCTTGGTCATGGTACAAACAGTGCGGATATTCTTGATAAGATAATTGGCTATGTTGGTCCTTCTTTTAGTTTTGTTGCTGTGCCACTGTCGCCATTAATGACGGAGATCAGGAAGGTGTTCATATCCTTTTCTGCGACAACACCCACCTTGAGTGTGAGGGAAGACCATCCCTATTTCATGAGAACGTGCTCACCAGATCACAAACAGGCTAAAGTCATCATGGAGTTAGCGAAAGTGACTGGTTCAAAATACGTACAGATAATCTTCTCGAATGAGGAATATGGAATAGCTGGGAAAGAAGCTCTTCTTGACGCTGCACAGAAGCAAGAGATATGCGTGGCACAGTCCATTGAAGCACAGAACACGGACGACCCTACTAAACATAAAGGCTACATATCTAGTCTCAGACGTTACAGATATGCCAAAGTTGTCATTGTGTTTGCCTTGCCGTCACTAACACGTTTGGTTATGGAGAATCTGTATCCAAATTTAGAAGGTGGAGAATTTGCTTTCATTGGTGGTGAGAGTTGGGGTCAAATTGTGGAACTTCTTACTCCTAAATTGCTAGGCTCTTTCACCATAGTACAAAAGCTACCAGATATTAAAGCTTTTACCGAACACTTTAAGACTATAGACATCGAACAGTCTGTGAACACGTGGCCACAAGATTACATTGAAGACATCGAGCAGTGCTATTTTCCGAAAAGTTTTCAGAAGTATAAACGACAGAAATGCCTTTCAACAAAGATTGATGCAAGTATCCAACCTGATCCGTGGTCATCATTTGTTGTCTACACAATATACAGCCTTGTCTTGGGGTTCCATGAGGCAACAACATCTGTCTGTGGGGATGTTGTGATCTGTTCCGAATTTTCAACAACAGGCTTGATTGCTAAACTGAAAGATGTGAAACTAGATATGTACCAGAATGGCGACAGCATCAACGTATTTGACGACAATGGGGATGGAAACCTTGGATATATTATCTCCCAGATTTCTGTGGACAATGGTTTCGTGTATAAAGAGGTATGCCAATGTTTCTGCCTTATACTTGCATAGGTAATCAAGAATTACATTTCCAGAGTTAGTCACAGAAGGTGTTTTTAAATGTCACTGCCTATTCCATATTTCAAACGGTATCTTAAAGTATTTTCCGAAACTGCTATCTGACTGACTGACATGTATTCATGCCATTAATACTTATTCTTTTGAGTGTAATTTTTCACAACACATTCAGGATTCTGTTGTTGATTCAATGCCATTGGAACCTACCCTTGTCTGTATTTAATTATAATTTTGTCTGGCCCGAAACAGTAATATATTAAAGTGTTATTGTTTCTCTTATCAGGTTGGCTATTCTACGGAGAAAGGAATCGTTTTATCTACACCTTTACAAGAGCTTTTGAGACATGTGAACTTCACTTCTGATTGCCCAAACGAGGTCGAATGTAGAGCGTGCAAACAGCAATTTGTCACAGTGTCAGCAAACATATTTACATTTCTAGTTCCAAAAATCATTACATATTAAATTGCAATGCCAAATAGAAATCGATAGCCATATTTCTAATTCACCATCGTTATCAACTCTATACTTGGACAATTCACCAATTACTAGCATTGTCTCACAACGTTTGTCATTTTACCCTCATCATGCTTATTTGCTGGACCGTCCCCGTGGTCTCGTGATAGAGTGTCCGCCCGGAGAGCGGAAGGTCCGGGGTTCGATCCCCAGCCGCGTCATACAAAAAGACGTTAAAAGATGGTACTTGTTGTTACCCTGTCTGGCGCTCTGCATTAAAACAAGGACTAGTCGGCTCGGAGTCAGTATACCCTTATGTTAAAGTGCGGCATGGTATCTCAGTGTGCTAGCACTATAAATCGGCATCAGTCCGGACTAGTACAAGCAGCCACACAAACACATACACGTACATGCACGTCGCTATATAAGTGCAATAATCTTGGAAGCGATGTTAAACCCAATTTCACCTCACCTCACCTCACCGCTTATTTGTTGTACTATCAACAGTAAGTTGGTATCGTCCAGCCTCTGTTTTGTACAGCTCTTAGTGATGAAGGTGTAATACATGTATAGGTGATCACATGTGAATGATTATAGTAGCTTACTGACTGCTATTTCTTTTGAAAGGGAAAAATCTATACTTAATCGTGTGGTTGATGTGTCAAAAAATATAGTAACAATCGTACTGTTCGATTTGGACTTGGTAGAAGAATTAATAAATGTTTGATTTTACCACATGCAGTATAAGTGGCAATCGAACAACGCATATAAGCAACAGCAGTGGAACTCGTAACATAAGCAACAAGATCGACTGTTGACAGTATCAACATAATGTTGTTTTGTGTCTAGTGCTCGGCTTGGGTCTGAGAGCGATGTGGTAATCTTCTCCCTTGTGGCCGGCGTGTGCGTTATGGGTCTGGTTGTCTTGGTGATGTCGGGTTGCCTCTGTCATCGATGCTGCAGGAGAAAGCAACAAGAAGGTGAGAGCAACGAGTCAAATTGGTCCCTACAAGCACAATTATTAAAAAGATCTATTCCCGCGGTTTCCTGTTTATACATGTAAAATTATTTTAAAAGTGTATTCTCAAGGTTTCCTGTTTTAAATTAACATCGAGTTGTCACTCCTGTTTTGTGGAACAATGTTTTGTGTGGCATTTTAAATGACGTTAAATATAACAACACAATGTTAAATCTTGATCTGATTATATGATGATATGGATGTCTTGCATGGATAAAACCATTCTCAATAGAGTGTATTGTTAAAAAGTAAACAAACAGGACAAGGCAATGCAAATACCATACCAACAACTCTAACTCGGTTTAGAGAAGTACTCATACAAATTTGTAGCTGTATTTATTTGTTTAAGAATAAAACATCAACATATATTTGTTACATAATCCTTAGACTTGGAATGGTGGGGTAGCATTGTTGTTAAAGCGTTTGCTCACCACGACCACATCCAGAGTTCGATTTCTCACATTGGGCAAGGTGTGAAGCCTGTTTCTGGTGTTTTGCAATCTTGTTGCGGATATTTTGCTAAAAGTGCCGTACATCTTCACTCACTCACTCATCGTGGGTTATCGGAATCAGTGACAGTGAGTTAACAGTGTTTTAGGGAACACTCATCTCATCAGTAGTTCATTAATATGTACGACTATAATTCATCAACGACTGAAAAACAGAATTAGCACTTCAACGTAAGGGAACAGATGTCTCACCATTTGGATGATATCCACTGAAATAGGTATTTTTCGGAGGCATGAATCAAAGGCGGGCCTTTTTGCACCAAATGCATAATATAAGGATTTAACACATACATGTATCTATTCATCTCGTCTAAATTATCGCACCGCCAAATTTGGAATGTAGGTGCGAGTTCAATGTAGAGATTTTCAAATAGTGTGTGTTGACACATCATCTTCCTGTAGAATGGTAGCCACTTTAACAGCCCAACCTTGTGGGTGCGTTTATGCGAGCCGTATGCACACCTAAGGGGTCTGTCTCTATGTTTTATGACACAAAGTTTATGTGTCTTAACTGCTATCAATTTTGAATGAAGTTCGACCAATTTAAAAGTCTTTGGAACGATTGTAACTGTAATCGTACTATCCAAGAATATCAACAAAAAACCGAATTGATCATAATTGGATGAATGATGTAATATTTAATATCTTTTAATCTTAATTTCAGATCCATATTCAACGATACATTAGAGGGATATGAGTCAGTCTAGTTGACGAGAAGGCAATGTTAATCTATTCCACTGCACGTTTCAAATGTACCTGCTTCCGCACATGCTACTTTGAAGAGAGCTTCACGTCAACGCCATTGACAACAAGACATACCTGTGACACTGATGTATTTAACAAGAAATATAAATGCTGAGTACATTCATTTTACATGACCATGTGAAGAATTCTATACAGATAACAAAAACACAAAAAGACAATTATCATTGTACATTGTATGTATGATCAGAAGGGATTCGAACAATCATCTGCAGCAGGACAAATGTAGGTTTAAGCACTCGGCTTCTCCAGTGACCTTGCATCCTTGAGTCGCCGGTGATGTAAATGAGCTGGTTACATTGACAGATGATTGGAAATGACATTGAAAACCTCCATAATTGATTTTATTCAGTGTGTAGGGCAATTTAGCCTGAGGATCACGTTACACTATTGGTTAATCAGAATAATTTAGGATAATGCATAACAAAGCGATCGTAGCCCTTTGACTTCAGAAACACATGTACAATAAAATGGATATTTGTCTGAAACACTGATCAGATGTTTTATTTACTGGTTAAAAAGTGTGTTTGGAAGACACTGCGGAGGGCATTTCCAAATTTGCCGCATCAGTGACAAAAATGATCTCGTGCAATTGCCTCTTTGACTTGTACCATGTCTTCCTGTGTTTGTTTTCGGACTAACTGTTGACCTGTGTGTGAATGTGACGGCTGCCTGGGTACAATGTGTGAAGGCCATTTCTGGTGTCCCCCGCCGTGATATTGCTGGAATATTGCTAAAAGCGGCGTAAAACCATACTCACTCACTCACTGTGACGGCTGACACCGGTGGGGCAGAATATGCTCGCATTTTTATGAACACCTGGTATCATCACTATTTGATATAGATTCATAAACACATGATTATGCTATAGTACAATCGTACAATGGAGGAGAATTCTTATGATCATGGAAAGGGTTTTGTCACTTTATATTTTAATTATATTATTGGTATTTACCCATATGGGCTAAATTATGCAGTATAATATCTTTTTGATATTTGCCCAGTGTGCAATTAGTGATTCTCGAAGCTGATTGGTTAGTTTAACAAAGATATATTTTCATTAGACAACGGGACTATTTTTCTCTACTTCAATTCATTCACAAATCCACGGCCTTCATTGACATGTTTCACTTGCTACAAACTCACTGATTCGAGATTTATAAGACAAGACTCATCGTTTCATATTAACAACATGATTTCACATTATAATCAACGTAGCATGTATTTCACATGATTTTCATTTCACAATAAAAAACAAAACAACTTCTGCGTTGTTTGTAAACAAACATGGCTGATCATTTGACACATGTCAAAGTAAATGACCTGGTTAAAGTGGACGGAGATCTGACTGACAGGAAGAGTTATTCAAACACATTCAATGTCTTTGTTGTTAAAACTGCATATGGCCAGTTTGAAGTTCCAGGATTCAGATTGCGAGTGTTGCAAGAAACGTTCTAGTGCGCCAAGATCAACGCCGCCATGTCCGGGTTTGTCTGTGCTAGATCTAGAGTACTTGCGCGTGCTGTTTGACGAATCTTTCAACCAACCGAATCCAAAAACCGGACTTTTGGGAACGATGATGACATCGATAAGATCTTAACTGCCAATGAAAATGAAAACACATTGAAAAAGTCTAAACTTGACATGAATTTAGTTCACAAATTTATACAGGAAAGCTCAAATGACACAAGAAAGGTGGAATTAAACATTATGTGAAACCAAAACAAACAAAAATTAAAAAACACAAGGAAAAGGAAACTTACCCCAACAAGTTGATCCTGTGTCCGATATTGAACTAAATAAACTCCGTGAATGCGTACAGCAGTTTGTCTATCAACAGCTTTTCGACCATTAATGAATCACATCCAAATATCGTCATACTCCTGTCGTCTACTTGGCTACGTCAACTCCACAAGTGTGATTGACAAGTCATCCTAAAATCTCAGATGCACGTGTTTCCCATCAGTCACACTTGTCTCACAGCACATACGATGTTTATACAACTTGTTGTCCGGATTAAGCTATAACGGCGGCTCTGTTGTCATTCCTGGTTTCGGCTGTCTCATACCTGGGTCAAGTTGGGTCCTTTTTACTGACACTGTGACAGCAATCGTGCTTTTCAAAGTTAACCTATTTTTCGTCACTTTTGTACACGTCTATGTCTTTGTTACAGGTTTGGGCATTTTTTTTAATGACGCATGAAAAAAATGACAGGTTTTCCGTGTTTACACTTCTCAATGTGAAATGTATGTCCATGCTGTCATTGACGAGATCTTCTCAAAACCAGCCTTGATTACAAAGCCTGTTGAACCTTTTGTGAAAAGTGTCTTCTTTTATCAATGCTAGACAGTGTACGCTGTGTAAATGAGACAGAAATATAACTGCACTAATGTAATCTCTAAAGTTATTTAACAGAACAAGGGGGTTGTGGGTGGCCCAGTCGTCTGAGGCGCCGCGATTCGCTGTGTAGAGTTGCGTCTCTTGGGCACGCCAGAAACCGTTGATTGTGGGTTCGAATCCAGGTTCGCCCCGATTTTGTTTCTAGGTTTGTCAGCACCATACCCGTGCTCGTGGGTTTCACCGAAGTGGTTAACGTCTTAGACCTGCATCGAATCGGGCTTTCCTCCCACATTAAGCTGACAGGCCGTGATTTAACTAGAATTCTGTTAAAAGCGGCGTTAAACCCAACTCACTCACGCACTGGATTTAACAGAACTATATATTTCACGCGTAACAGCACGTTGACTGAGTAATGCGGTTGGAGTGAGTGGACAGTGTTTTTTTTCACACGCGGATTGATACAAAACAGCTGATTCCTGATCGGCGACAGTTTGTTTTTTCTTGAAACATGTCTTTAACATGATATTGGGTGATAAATAGCGTAACCCACTCGGTACGAGTGATTACGGAGCTAATGCTCGGAAAGCTCGGAACATAAAACATTAATTTCAGTCGTGACATATTTCACTTAATCAATAATAATTGTACCTCGTGGTATATTCTATAATTATCACCTACGAGGGCAAACATATCAGAGTTCATAAAAATCACAAGTGCCCATGGGTCATATCACGTCACGAGACAACAGTGTATTGTTTCAGTCAACCGGACGGCATTATATCGAATTTAGCCAATTTTCATTCATTGCCAAATGAACCAAGTTGCTATCAAAAAGCTTTTTCATCGTTTACTTATGGTTTACGCCCAATCGAATCCGGATAATGGTTATTATTACTTGCCCGTGAAGAGATCACCCGTTTAATAAACATGCAGCTGTATTACACATTGTGTAATACCAAAACGCGTGCTTATGTACTCTCGGAACATGTTTCACGAACAAATATTGAAAGCTCACAACATCACTTGGCTTATTCAACGTCATTGCGTATGGAGTTGATAGATCACTGAGAGGAGCTTATGCACACTCGATGACCCAAGCAACCTTGTTGCTAGGCTGACGTCACATGGTAGTGTTTCGCCGATGTATCTTGCAACAACATATCACAATTTACGTCATCGGGTATTGTGACGTGATTGTAAACTTTGATGTGCAAGGCCCGTTCCACAATGCGATCGTATTGTAGCGCAACGACAGTCGTTGTGAAAGTATGTGAGTTGCGATTAGCCCTACGATAATTTTGTGAAACGGACGCCTTAATTCTAAAGGTGGACCGTTGCATGGTATTAAATTCATACGTTTCAACTTTTGACGTGTTTGAACTATTATTTTGTTAAACTCAATTGGACTATACCGTGGATCGTGTAGGTGTCAGCCTATTTATACTCAACAGTATAATTCTAAAAACGTCATAAATGGCAAGTAAAAAATTAAATACTAAACTCGCTCCCGTGTAAAACCAATTTTATTACTTGCCCGTGAAGAGATCACCCGTTTAATAAACATACAGCTTTATTACACATTGTGTAATACCAAAACGCGTGCTTATGTACTCTCGGAACACGTTTCACGAACAAATATTGAAAGCTCTCAACATCCCTTGGCGTATTCAACGACATTGTGTGTGGAGATGATAGATCACTGGGAGGAGCTTATGCACACTCGATGACCCCAGCAACCTTGTTGCTAGGCTGACGTCACATGGCATTGTTTCGCCGATGGATCTTGCAACAAAAGACAACAAATTACGTCATCGGGTATTGTGACGTCATTGTAAACTTTGAGCTGCAAGGCCCCGTTCCACAAGGCGGTCGTACTCTAGCGCAACGAGAGTCTTTAGTCTAAGTTAAATTATGTGAGTTGTGATAGCCTTAGCACTACGATAATTTTGTCGGACGAACGCCTGCATTCTAAAGGTGGACCATTGTATGATATTAAATTCATACGTTTCAACTTTTGACGTGTTTGAAGTATTATTCTGTTAAACTCAATTGGATTATGCCATGGATCGTGTAGGTGTCAGCCTATTTACACTAAACAGTATAATTCTAAAAACATTATAAATGACAAGTAATAAATAAAATACGAAACTCGCTCTCGTGTAAAACCAATTTTATGAAACTCGTGAATAGTTGTGGTATCTGACTCGCTTTCGCTCGTCAGATACCAGAACTATTCACTCGTTTCATAAAATTGGTATTACACGGGAGCTCGTTTAGTATTCTATATTTATGAAACTCGTGAATAGTTGTGGTATCTAACTCGCTTTCGCTCGTCAGATACCACAACTATTCACTCGTTTCATAAAATTGCTATTACACAGGAGCTCGTTTAGTATTCTATATTTATCTGACGTTGAGGTTTTATATTGTACGCCGACTTCCACATTGTCTTCATTTGAATCTTATTGTGACGTGAGGTCGGAATGACGTCACACTAGAAATGATGTCATAGCTGAAGATGTTTGACGTCATTCGACAAATTGTAGTGCCGCTGCTGTTGCGACTTGCTGTTCTTTTAGATAAACACAAACAATTGTCTCTGATTTTAGCCATCTTCTTCGGTAATAAATAGAACGTTACACTCTTGCCTAAATTCCGGTATTTCCCGAGCGAAAGTGTCGTTAACATAGTTTGACAAGAACACTGATATAATATCCTCTGTATAAGCTTTGTATGCTTAAATACTTTCAGGTGCATCAATAAATGTCTTTACCTTTAAAGTGTTTGTTCTTTAAACAGTAAGGGGCGGTCAGTTAGCCTAGTGGTTAAAGCGTTGGCTCGTCATGCAGAAGACCCGGGTACGATTCCAGACATGGGTACAATGTGTGAAGCCCATTTCTGGTGTCCCCCGCCGTGATATTGCTGGAATATAGCTACAGGCGGCGTAAAACCACACTCACTAACTCACTTAAACAGTAAAGGAATAACTATATCGAACAAAATGCAATTCCATTTCACAATTTGTATGTAGACATTGATAACGTTTGCCTGTTTTTCTAGTTAGTTTGAATTCAAGAGTAAGGATGATAAGACTGTTACTGCCGTGTCCCTACTTCACCAGGATGTCGAGTGATAGAGTTACAGTACTCGCTGAACTCTCGCTGTATACAATTCCGCACAAACAACTTCATAATCATAATAATAATACCGATACGTTCCTTGTAAATTACAAAACATGAAAAATGAATATTCATTAATGTAGCAGGAAAACCATGTTGAACCAATTCCCAACGTTTTCCTTATGGGCCAGGTAATATTTCTTTCCTCGTGTGAATTGCACTTGAGTTTTACTTTAATTTTCAGGGTTACACGTCCTGGGGCAGGGCCACAAAGCGATCCGAGCGCTACGACAATCGTCAACCTATCTAAAGTATGGGACAAACGATCTCCTCATCAGTAAGTTCGATTTGTGGAACTGGGCACATTTTTAAAAGCAACAATACATTAACCAGTACATATATCTAGGTAAGCAAGTGTGAGTGTGGGTTAAATGGCGTTTTCAATACCATTTTAACTATTCCGAAGTCTGTGTGGGCCGTATGCCAAGCAGGTACAACACTTCTACCATACTGCGGGTACGATGACAATGTACGTCGCTAGATGGGCAATAATCTTGAACGCGACGTTAAACCTCTTTTCAACTCCCACCTGTTTCAGTGTCCGTCTTTATAAATAGTGAATTACCCCCTTTACCTGTTTAACCTTAAGCGAAAATGTCACGCAAGCAACTTATGAACATATTGATTTTTCCATCACAAGGTATAAATATAACAGTGTAAAAACAGTCAAGGACCTTTTTAATCAAGTCAATTCTCATTTAATATTGTGCCTTTTAAAAGAAGTAGAATTAATTCATAAATTTTGATGTACATAATGTGTTATTTTATATTTTGGTAGTGCTTATTAATAACTTAGACTGTTAGTGGCTGTACCCTCGAGGGGGGTTGAAGTAGCGTAAAATTATTGTCCCCCTAAGAGGGTATGTAAGTCCCAAATCATTCGAAGTATTTTTATGCATGCCAGAATTTTAAAACGTAGCATTTTTGTCATTTTAATCTCAGACTTAACTGGTATACTATCGCCAGTGACTGAAGGGATGATATAAATCCTGCCGGGGTCCATGCAGGAAGCAAAGGTACTGTAAGTCCCCATGGTCCCTGGTACGGTGATCTCCCTTTAGGTACTGACGATCCCTAACCCATTTTTATATTGTGTTGTTCACTGATACTTATGGCTTTTATATATTCTCAACTAGTTTTAAATCGAATCTGTGATATTCTAGTTATTGTACTGTTCTTCATTGACAGCTTTTATTTTGTCCAAATATATGTATTATTAATGTACTTCTCGTCACGATATGGCTGAAATACTGCCGATGTGACGTTAAATCTTAACTCACTCAAATTAATTATATCAAAGGATGTAGCCGATCGAATTCATACGAAACATACTCAACCTAATATTCGTAACAGACGATGCTACTGTCTTACCGACAGACATTTTTGTCCTTTTGTTAAATGTTATCAATGACACTGTTTCACAACCTTCACGAGATACAAGTCAATAGGCAAAAATAGAAAGCATATCATAAATAAAAGCAAAACATAATTATGCACAGATGATTATATAGTTTCTAATTTTGATTTCATAGCAAATACCCTATATAATTACAGATGTTGGCAAGTTGGTTAGAAAAACCTACAGGGACCAGCCTGTTCGAACGGGCCTGCTTTTGGAACCCTTTACATAGTTGTAGTGAGTGAGTGAGTTTGGCTCACCGCCGCTTTTAACAGTATTCTAGTTATATCACGGCGTGTCAGCTTAATGTGGGAAGAAAAGCCCGAAGTGATGCAGGTCTCAGACGCTTACCACTTCGGTGAAACCCACGAGCAAGTATATTGTGCTGACAAACCTAGAAACATAATCGGGGCGAACCGGGATTCGAACCCACAATCAACGGTTTCTGGCGTGCCCAAGGGACGCAACTCTGCACAGCGAATTGCAGAATGGGCCATCCGTGCCACCCATAGTAGTAGTGGAAACTATATCATACGCTTTCATTTACGCTTTATTCAGCTATATCCCATTTTTTCAACATACTTCCAAAGTGCACTGAAATCTTCCACATTATTATTAGCACCCGTTTCGGACCTTGCACCACATTACATAATATACTTCGCCACACAAAACTTGACCGACGTGATCAGACAAAGCTCGACCGGCCCAGACTTTCAACGGGAACGCGGCGTTGGCAACAGCAACTCAACGAAAGTCTTCCTCCAGTTGCCTCGGGTCTGAACGGGTCTCCGCAACTGGAACATTTGCCACTAAGTCAGTCATATCCAAACTTTGCAATAAAGATTACTGCTTTCGTCTTACACCTTACACTCGAGTTTTGTCATGTATCGTCTGTCTGAGCTATCAAAACCATGTCCAATTATACTCTTGGACAAAATCAATGATATGTGTGTAAGTGACAAGATGACATTGACTCGTACCTTGTTCACAATCGACCGCCTCCGTGGTCAAGTGGTAGAGCGTCCGCCCGGAAGAGCGGAAGGTCCGGGGTTTGGTCCACTGCCGCGTCATACTAAAAGACGTTTAAAGATGGTACCTATTGTTACCCTGTCTGGCTCTCGGTATAAAGGGGCTAAAACAAGGGCTGCTCGGAGTCAGAATACAGTGTCTGAGTGGGGTATTCATGTTAAACTGCGGTATGGCATCTCATTGAGCTGGTACTATAAATCGGCATCAGTCCGGACAAGTACAAGCAGCCACGCACACACAAGTACATGCATGCACGTCGCTCTATAAGTGCAATAATCTTGGACACGACGTTAAACCCATTTTCACCTTGTTGACACATCTGGATAAATAAAAAACAGTATGTTACTGTGAAATGTCGTCTGTTGACGTGGGAAAGAACATATGCTAACGTACCATGACGAGTTAATCAAAGTTGTCACTGCACAAACGCTGTCAGTTTTGTATACAATACAGAAAGCTCGAGATTTTACTAAAGGGTGCAAGTATTGAGCATTGTCATCTGAACATCATACTCCGGTTCACATTTTAATGATTTAATCTATGTAAACCCTTGCCATCACAACATATGGAGTGTCAATCTGACAGTTAATTGTGAGGTGAGGTGAAATGGGGTTTAACGTCGCGTCCTTATATAGCGACGTGTGTGTTTGGCTACTTGTACTAGTCCGGACTGATGCCGATTTATAGTGCTAGCACACTGAGATACCATACCGCAGTTTAACATGGATACCCCACTCAGACACAGTATACTGACTCCGAGCCGACCAGTCCTTGTTTTAGCCCCTTAATACCGAGCGCCAGACAGGGTAACAACAAGTACCATCTTTTAACGTATTTTGGTATGACGCGGCCGGGGATCGAACCCCGGACCTTCCGCTCTCCCACTGTCCACCATTACATTAGTGGTCGTCAAGTGACAAACTATAGCTTAGTGTACACAGAACGTTGTATAAAATTGAACCATGATTAGGCTCGGTGACTTGGTTGATGGTGTAACATTGTACCCTGACATCATGGATGTTGCTCATAATGTCTGGTTAAGTATGATTAGAATATAAACAGGACCATCACCTAGCGTGAACATTGCTGTGTACTTTGTTAATTAACAAGCAAACAAGCCATACATCATACATCACTTCAGAAATGGTTGTATTTGTTTTGCATTCCTTAAAAATTCAGAGTTTCGAAACTATTGTACAATGGTACTTGCGCTATCATCAGTTGTTTCTCTTGAAAAAACAACAACTGACGTGACTGGAAGGTACAGAAAGAATTGATAGATAGAAGAGTACATCTGCCAGATCCCATTAACCCCCCCCCCCCCCCCCCCCAATCCCAACTCACACACACACGCGCACATATTTGGTGATTTTTAAAGGGTATAGGGTTGGGGATTCTTTGTCTTCTTCATCGTGGTGTCATGAAAAAACAATGATCGAAGGCACAGTTGCATCACTCAGCAGTATTAGGTATTCTTGAATTGGGAACGATTTCCATATCCGCCTGATTCATATGATCAACGGCTTGTTGAAGTGGTACACGTCAACGAATGACATCTTTTCAGGCCTTTAATCAACATTAAACTGTTATTATAATCAAATACAACTTTTGAACCCACACAAACAATATCCATCAAACACACTGGACCAGTGCCCCTTTTTACGCCATACACGACTCCAACAGTATTTACAAGCTACGTTACATTGTATTTATCTCGAATCTCAAAATATAGCTTATTTTGAAGTTTACTCTTTGTTACACTGGAAATTACAAAATTATATGAGTCCATTAGTTATCTCAATATAATCCTGAATGTGGCAGGCTTAAAAGAATTGCTTCTATTCTTTTATCCAAAACAGTTGTTCTCATAATATTTCGTTATTCATTTTGATGCTTGTAGTTTTAACACATCCCTCAAGTTTGTCCTTTTTTCCAAAGGTCACAGACTCCTGCTTTTGTTACAAAATATTGTACTGCTTACTTACAGCGAAACATGATCACCTGACTCAAGTTATTTGTTGATACACCTCCATGACCCGCCTTCGATTGCCCTCGTGAGTACAATGTGGAAGCCCATTTCTGGTGTCCCGTGACATTGCTCAAATAAAGCTAAAGGTGGCGTAAAACCATACTTATTCATTCACGCTACGCTTATTAGATCAACACCCACTACTCATATGTATTCAATATATCTTGCTACATGTATGTACCTTCGACTCAGATTTTAGAGTTATCGCCCTTTGTTGGTATGGCGACACACCTTCATGTCAACATTAAATGGATATGTATGTATATGTTTAGGTATAAGCAAACAACAACATATTTTCAGTGCAAAACATCCAGTGATATAACTGGAATACTGTTAAAAGCGGCATTAAACCCAACTCACTCACTCACATGGCGAACCTCGACGGCCCTGTATTGCCACTTTCTGGGTCGCTTTAATACCTCCGAAAGAGTACCGTGTAATTCGATAACAAGAGACGCAGTAAGTATGAATGTATGATGTCTTCGGGCCACCGTAAACAGTGGCCTTGCTTCCACGCCTGGTTGATTCCCTGCTCTCCCGGCGCTAACAACGCAGTTGCGATTGAACAGGACTTTAAAGTCGAAGCGGATAAAACGGTGAGACAAACTTCAGTTTAAACTGTGTTTAGGAATACAAAATCCCCCATTAAGTTGTATAAGTCTTCCGTAATGTGTGACAATAAGGACCTGACGGGATATTGATGAGGGGTGTGGCTTAATTCAATTTTTCCTTGTATCATATACCAGTGAATGAACACCTCCCGTCCTTTACTTTGTCAGCTTGAGATAAAGCGTTTAAATTCGTCATATATTTACCATCTTGTGATACTGATGCTTTACGTGTTTAATACATCCGTGATTTGTTTGTTTGTTGTTAAATATCTGAACCAGACATTCCAGTGATTAACGCCGTCGGGGTAGGTTGACGAGTCTGTCAACCTGATCACCCGGTCCAGTTGGGATCACAGCCAATATACGGGTTGTTGTGACCTAAAAATATCTTCTAGCGTCCTCACGGGGAACCCTGGCCGATATACACATGACATTCTTCATATGCAGTGACCCAGACAGACGCTCAATGCTATGCGTGTCCCTCGTTGTAATCTGATCGAAACATACCCGTGGAGCATTGTCTGTTGCTGTTACTTGATACTCTCACAGCGATCAGCCGACGGAAGGAGAGACACGGAATTCAGGCGACAGTAATTCATTTATATATTTTGTCTCTCGTGACCCTTAACGGGTGGCACACTTGTATGTACTGTTATATGTATTTATGAAAATATTTTTTGTGAGGTGAGCTATAAATACACAATCTGTCTCTCTGTCCGTCTGTCTGCATCACGGTAAGTCCAGTTGATGTCCGGGGAATGCCACACATGATCAGGACATTTAACACTCGAGCACAGGTATGGTGCAGACAAACCAAGAATCACGCAGTGTGAATCTGGGATTCAAACCCAAGATCATACATTCCTGGCACGCCCGAGGGACGCAACTCTAAAGAGCTGTAGATGTTTGATGGGTCCACTGTAATATCAGTAAATGCTATAATTGCCAAGAAAACATCTTAGGGGATAGTTCCTCTGCGTTGCTTCTCCTCCCATAATGACCTTACTTCAAATGAAGCATCAACATTTTGGTAACGAACTCCATATACTGTCCATGTAATGTCCATATAATATCCATGTAATGTCCATATAATGTCCATATACTGTCCATGTAATGTCCATGTTATGTCCATGAAATGCCCATGTAATGTCCATATGATGTCCATGTGATGTCCATGTAATGTCCATGTTACGTCCATGTAATGTCCATCTAATGTCCATGTAATGTACATATAGTGTAAATGCAATGTCAATTTAATGTCCATGTAATGTCCACATAATGCCCATATACTGTCCATGTTATGTCCATGTAATGTCCATGTAATGTCCATATACTGTCCATGTAATGTCCATGTAATGTCCATGTAATGTCCATATACTGTCCATGTAATGTCCATGTAATGTCCATGTAATGTCCATGTTATGTCCATGTAATGTACATATACTGTCAATGCAATGTCCATATAATGTCCATAAAATGTCCATGTTCCGTCCATGTAATGTTCATGTAATGTCCATATACTGTCCATGTAATGTCCATATAATGTCCATGTAATGTCAATGTAATGTCCATGTAATGTCCATAAAATGACAGTATACTCTATGCGGCAGTGCGTTCACATGACATATAAGAAGTCAAGTATTACGACCACTGTTTAACTAGCTATAATATTCGTATGTAATGCATTATGAACAGCCGGCCGAACGAAAGTATCAACCTTCAAAATAACTTCTTTACTAGAAAAATTACAAATGTCTCACTAGGCTGAAAACAGTATGCCAGATTATTTATAAATATTTTTAAAAATGTAATAAATAATTAAAATTATTATAAAATTATTTATATCTATAAACACATATTTCTGAATATTTCAGTTTGCCAAGTATCACAATGAACTCTTTCACGACCCTGCTGTGTGTCTGGACTATAGGATCAGTTGCCTCATTCTCAAACAACGAGTTCGTCTCTGGGGATGTGATACTAGCAGGGCTATTTTCTATACAGTCCCACAAGGATGAAACATGTGGCGCCGTGGTTCCAGAATCTATACAAGCATACGAAGCGGTCCGATGGTTCTTCAGAGAATTAAACGACAGGAATTATACCAATGCTGTTAAATTCGGTAAGGTTATCTTTATTCTTTAATACAGATGCTTTATCTGTGAGCTATACAAACTAATTCCATCTGGCCATAACACTATTTCTTTGAGGATGCAATATATGCAAGCAATAACATTACACATATGATAAACAAGTAATTATAAATGATAAATAGTCACCACAATTACATAATTGCTACACACTCGGGGAAATGGTGTGGTGCACAGGTATGGTGCAGACAAGCCAAGAATCACTCAGTGTGAATCTTCGATTCATACCCAAGAGCATACATTCCTGGCACGCCCGAGGGACGCAACTCTAAAGAGCTGTAGATGTTTGATTTGTCCACTGTAATATAAGTAAATGCTATAATTGCCAAGAAAACAACTTAGGGGATGGTTCCTCTGCGTTGCTTCTCCTCCCATAATGACCTTACTTCAAATGAAGCATCAACGTTTTGGTAACGAACTCCATATACTGTCCATGTAATGTCCATATAATGTCCATGTAATGTCCATATAATGTCCATATACTGTCCATGTAATGTCCATGTTATGTCCATATAATGTCCATGTAATGTCCCTATACTGTCCATGTAATGTCCATGTAATGTCCATATACTGTCCATGTAATGTCCATGTTATGTCCATGTAATGTCCATGTTATGTCCATCTAATGTCCATGTTATGTCCATGTAATCATTTCTTAATGGACATGCAGTCGAAACTGTTCGGCTAATAATATATTATTTTCCTTTAAGTCTGATGTCTCTGTAAAGGCTTGTACATTGTACTTGATATTTCGATGACGCCTTTGTGATCTCTTTGTAATTGTCATTCTTATAATTCTCATCACTGGTTTGACTTTTACGCCTAATAGTATCAGTTTTGGTAGATAGTCGACACAACTTATTCAGTGAACGCTGGTGTTTTATATATGCTAACAAACAGATCTTTGTTACCTCTTATATATTTATTATGAGTAGACATAAAAACAATGATTGCTAGTTTTAATTAAGGAAAAACATTCACTTGTAAGTCGATCAAATTTCAAACGTTAACATATGTATTGAAAGAAGTGTAAATATCAATAATGTTACTATATACAGGTCTCCACGCCTTCAAGACATGCGGGGATCCATCTATGGCTGTCACAGCAACTCTAGATATTCTGGAGACTTACAAACAGAAACAGATATATGGTGTGTACCCGTCATCAATCAACAGTATGTAGCGGTTCCTGTCCATACCGCAGTTCTAAGCAGTGACGATCCGGGTTAGAATTGGTCTTCAGTCACCCATGCTTGTGGTAAAAGACGACTATGCTTATGGTAAAAGGCGACTAGCGGATCGGGTGGTCAAGCTCGATAACTTGGTTGATGCATGCCATCTTATCCAAGTCGTATCGATGTTCATGATGCCAATCACTGGATTGTCTGGTCCAGACTCGATTATTTACAGACCGCCGTCATATAGCTGGAATATTGCTGTGTGGGACGTAAAACAACAAACAAACAAACAAACATCTGACATCATGACTGTATACGCTTGTAGTTGAAACTAATATTATATTGTACTAAGCGAACAATAGTATTTCATATACTAATTTGATTCAGATTTATTTTTCGACTTGTCTACTGTCTAAACCAAGGATGCGGTTTATCAAAAGAAGAGAATCAATATTCTCCAGAAGAGTATCAACAGAGCTAAAGGCTCTCTCATACCCTTTGAGGGTGAATAAAGACGTTTTGGGATATGAGTATATAAGTTAATTCTATGTTTTGCCGTGATAAGAGGATTATTGAAAAAGAGTTCGGGTGTGTATTTGGAGCTTTACACTGCAATACTGATCAGGCATCTTTGGACCCTAAACTGTATCGACATATACCCACTGTAAATTATGTAGCCTTCTTTTGTGTTCGCATTGTCGATTATATATAATCAACCATAGACAATAAATAGTTATATACACCGTGGGCTAGTAGATAGAAAGTCCGCAGGCAGAGAAGAAGGTCCCCCCCCCCCCCCCCCCCCCACACACACACACACACACAAACACGCACGTGTGTATATATGTGCAATAATCTTTGACGCGACGTTAAAAACCCCATTTCACCTCACCTCGTGATACCAAACACGCAATCAACGGTACAAAGACGACTACATGTAAGTGATAACTGACATAGTAGTAAAGATGTCTAAATAATTAATTCATACTTGTTTTTCATTAGGTATCATTGGACCTGAATTTAGTTCAGAAACCCAAGACGTGTCTCGTCTGCTGAGTTCGCTCCCGGAGCGTGATCGTCTGCTGCAGATCAGCTATTCCGCCACCGCCGCCATCCTTGCTGACAAGAGTATTTACAAAAACCTGTACCGGGTCATAGAAACGGATGACGTACAAGTTGATGTAAGACAAACTTAAGTGTGTGTGTGTGTGTGTGTGTGTGTGTGTGTGTCTGTGTCTGTGTCTCTGTCTGTCTGACTGTCTGTCTCTGTGTCTGTCTCTGTGTCTGTCTGTCTGTCGCTCTGTCTGTCTGTCTCTCGTCTCTCTGTCGCTCTCGTCTCTCTGTCTCTGTGTCTCTGTCTGTCTGTCTGTGTCTCTGTCTGTCTGTGTCTCTGTCTGTCTGTCTCTCTGTCTCTCGTCTCTCTGTCTCTCTCGTCTCTCTGTCTCTGTCCGTCTCGTCTATCTCGTCTCTTACGTCAACCATAGGAATCCACACGGGGACAGTAACACCAATATTCAAATGGCATGAGATCTGAGCTTACACTGTAAAAACGTGTTTGGATCCTCAACACAAACTTAAACACGTTCCTTGTCCCATAATTTTGACATGTTGAGGTCTTACCATTTTCAGGATTGTGTTTAACAGCTGAACGTGTTAAGGTAGAAAACACCAAATGTGTATTCCGTTTAGGATTGAAACACATTCACAATCGTGTTTAGATTTTAACATGCCTTTTCCGTGTTTCCATCCGCAACAATTTCATGGTGTATTGCTTCCATGGACGTTTGATATGCATTGTCACAATCACACAAAATGCGATACGTCTGTTGAATAGCAACACTTGTAGAAGTGGTAATGATATATTTTGCCATTGCAGGTTATGTTACAACTCTTGCAAAAGCTGAAGTGGAACTACATTGCCATCGTATATGAAGCCGACACCTATGGCAGAGAAGGGGCTCATGCACTCAAAACTAAGGCAGAAGAAAACGGCATATGTGTACCGCAATACGTTTCTATAGCAACAGATGCCAGCAGCGACGAATACAGAGCAATATTTGACTCAATTAAACGAAAACTGGAAATAGAATCAGAATCACCAGTGCTTGGTCTGGTCTTTTTTGGTCAAGCTGAGACTGCAAAAATCATGTTTGAGTTTCTTAACATCAAGCTCAGCAACTTCCAGATGATAGTATCTGAGTCTGTTGGTGAAAGTGAGTCTTATTTGATGAAGTCCGACGGAAGCGTGTACCCCTTAGCCAAGGGACTTCTCATGCCAAGTCCTCCATACTATGATGTCACGCTATTCAAATCACACTGGCAGTCGATTCACACCAATGCTATTGCAATGTTAGAAAGCATACAAAATAATGATTGGCTGTTGAAATACATGGAACAAGTAAGCGGGTGCCCTTTGACAAATGCAACAGATATTTCGCTAACCTGTCTTCAACAGTCCACAGCTTCAGTACCACGTATTTCCATCTACACCAACTACGCTCTGATGGCCGCAGCCGCATTTGCAAAGACGTACAAGACCTTATATGAGAGGAAGTGTCCTAAACAAACGGGTATATGTAAAGAGCTTGAGGATTATATCGCCAACAAGGCCAAATTTACTGAGGAAATGGCTTCAGTAGAAGTCAACTCTGCCGCTGAGTTTACAGAGCTGTCACCCTTTCGGTTAAAGTTTGGATTCAAGAACGGAGAGATTTTGTATAAGGAAAGTGGAAACTACTCGACCTATATCGTGTACAACTACCGGAAATGCAACACTGGGTTTTGCAATGTACAGGTGAGAGAAAATGTGTACGCATTGTCCTATGCGATAAGTGAACACATATATATATGTTTTATTAGTATTGACTTAAGTTGACCATAGGTTTTGCTGCAAACAGATCAATGGAATTTTTATGATATATTGAACCCATATCAAGTTCTAAGTATATGACGGCGATCTGTACATAATCGAGTCTAGACCAGACAATCCACTGATATCATGAACATCGATCCACGCAAGTTGGATACGATGGCATGCATCAAACCAAGTCACCACTTACCACAAACACGGGTTACTGAAGACCAATCTTAACCTGCATAACATTCATATAATTTATAATGATCATGAACATATATATTGTATGTCATTTAAACATAACATTATTTCTTCTTGACCAGGTTGGTGATTATGTGGCAGCGGACCTTACCTTTTTGCCAGGTGTTATCAAGTCTTACAATGACAAAGGAGAAGAGAGCTCTTACCCTGTTCAGGCCCAGTGTCAAGAAACCCGCCACTGTTCAAAATGTCAAGATTCAGGCAGTTATGGTGAAGTATTATACATACCAGGAGATTTTTATGTTGTGGGTCTTGTACCAATACATGATCAGGGTGCAGGCCCAATGCAGTGTGGTCAACTGAGAACGTCAGTCAGTGTGGACGTGGCTGAAGCTATTGTATTTGCTGTCAATCGTGCCAATGCAAAAAGAGATAAGTTTACTTCACTTCTTGGGAGCAAAACGATTGGATTAGTATTGTTGGATACATGTAACACTCCCTTGATTGCCAGGGAAAGAGTTACACGGCTTCATAGGGGTATTTTGAGACTAACTGAGAGGTTAAACAGTTCAAGTGTTGTTGATAAAATCATTGGATATATTGGTCCCTATGGGAGTTCGTTAAGTGTTACCATGTCCATTTTGATGACTGAATTAGACAAACTGTTCATTTCATATGCTTCCACAAGTTCAACTCTGAGCTCAAGAACTTTACATCCCAATTTTATGAGAACATGTTCTCCTGACCATGAACAGGCTGATGTAATTATGTACCTTGCCAAACAGATTGGTTCTACCTATGTTCAAATTATACACACTGATGAGGAGTACGGTACAGCCGGATTAACCTCGTTATTAGCTTCTGGGATAAAATACAGAATCTGCGTTGCCCAGACGCTTGCAGTCAAAGAAGGGACAAATAGTGACTTGTTCCGAGGTTACGTGTCCGAGTTGAGGAGGTTTCCGCATGCAAGACTTGTTGTGATATTTGTCAGATCTCACATTGCAAAACCTTTAATGACGGCTTTGAGCGAGGAGATGAACAGTGCTGAGTTCGTGTTTATTGGAGGTGAGAGTTGGGGAAAACGAAGTCAAGTGGTAGAAGGTAACAATAAATTACTTGGAAGTTTGACTGTTGCTCAGGAGCTGCCGAAGAACCAAGCATTTGAAGAATATTTTAGCAGTGTTGATGGGTCAAATTCAAACAACCCGTGGCTTCAGTCATATTTAGAAATAACATCCAATTGTTATTTCCCAATGAGTTATAACAAACGGTATGCATCTCCATGTACCCCTGAAATGTTGGCCAGGAACCGCAAGACAGACACGTGGGTACCATTTACTATTAATGGTGTGTATTCCCTGATTCTTGGATTCAGTACAACTTTAGAAGAGAAGTGTTATGGTACTTACACCATGTGTCCAGAGTATTCTACATCACGGTTGATCACCAACGTTAAAGACGTTCGTCTCGACATCTATAATGATGGTGGCAACATCCGTGTTTTCGATGACAATGGTGAAGGGAGCGTTGGTTACAAAATCTCACAGATTGTTCGGGACACTAATCTGGTGTATAAGGAGGTGGGTTGTTTTTGGAATCATCGGCATTTAGCATTTGTAATATGATGTCATGGTGAGGAAACAGGAATTATTGTTTTTTTTACATAACGGCACCGTCTGATATATTCGGGTGTGTACTCCTGTGATGAATGGAAGGTCAAATTACTGCGCTTCGTAACCTCCTTATGTTCATATGTAAAACTAAACAAGTACACCATATGATCTAGGAGGTGATTGACATCTGACAATGATGTGGGGCGACGGAAATCACTGATTTTCGCATTTCACAATATTACTTGTCACAGATATGTGAGTCTTCACGATGGACTCATCTTTAAGCTTGTACAGTTTAGTTTAATATGGTGTCTATTCATTATTGCTCTTATTAGCAATTGACCCGTGAAGATTCCGGGGTAGAATAGGTCTTCAGCAACCCATGTTTGCCGTAACAGGCGACTATGCTTGTCGTAAGAGGCGACTAACGGGATCGGGTGGTCAGGCTCGCTGACTTGGTTGATGCATGACATCGATCCCAATTGCGTGGATTGATGCTCATGATATCAATCACTGGATTGTCTGGTCCAGACTCGAATATTTACAGACCGCTGTCATATAGCTGGAATATTGCTGAGTGCGGCGTTAAACAACCAACCAACCAACCAACCAACCAACAACTTATTAGCAAATATACAATGAAATACTGTTCAACTTCCTACTTCTGCAGTGCGAAAAACGGTGTAACAATATATGTTGGCGTATGTACACAAACTTGACTCATAACTGAAGCTGTTCCCTTCATCGATATCTCTTAGGTCGGCTTAACATCAGATGATGGGATCCAGTTCTTCAAGACACGCCTCAGTTCTGATGCTAATTTCGCCACCACTTGTCAGAATGATGTTGAGTGTGGAAGGTGCAGCGCACAGTTCACGGACGCAGTGAATAGGTATGTATGCAGAAACAACTAAATTCTAGCACCTATTACAAATCAGCAAAAATGTAAGTTTATAAAATGAAATTAGCAATTAAATAGTCATTTCATCAAATATTTGCCATAGAGCATCACGCATCACGTTTGGGGCCCTCCCTATAATATTAAGAAAAAGTTCCACTTGATTGGTATCGAAGTTGATCTTGTTTTCTGGTTGACAAGTTACCTTTGTGTTTATGCAGTGATGAAAGCGGAGACCGTTCTACTGAAATTGGTCTAGGTGTGTTTGTGGCACTGTTACTGGTTGTTATCATTGGTCTACTCGTGGTAGGGGTACTGTGCTGGAGGAAGAGCAAAAGACCTGATAATAAAGAAGGTTGGTTTTTAGCTTTACATATTTTTCAAAAGGATTGTATAAAATTATGGTGATTCCGGGATAGAACTGTTCCCATGTGGCATATTTATGCTCATGTTAGCAACCACTGGTTTGTCTGATCAAAATCCGATCATATCATATACTCACACACTCACTAAAGAGATGAATATACTCAATCATGACACTCCTACTACGTGCCATACAAAAAAGCCTCTTCAACAGAAAACCGAGAAATCGGGTTTTTGACAATTAATATATTACATAGAATACTTACAATCATCATTCTAAATATTAAATGTAAGTTTGATACATATCTTTTAATGTAGTTAGGCAGTAGAATGTACTGTAATATGAACAGGTACATGGGCGGTCGGGGAGCCTAGTGGTTAAAGCGTTCGCTCGTCACGCCGAAGACCCGGGTTCGATTCACGACATGGGTACAATGTGTGAAGCCCCTTTCTGGTGTCCTCCGCTGTGATATTGCTGGAATATTGCTAAAAGCGGCGTAAAACATACTCACACACTCACCCAACAGGTTCATAAAGACCACGTCTATAGTTTGTAGTGAGACTATAGTTTGTACATGTAGCCAGTGTTCACCCATCTATTATAATCCTCTCCAGGTCCTTACACAGATGTCTACCTGCACCCCGTGAATGAACCACATTATGACAGTGTGTCCAGCGTCCAGTTGCAAGGTACCTCGAACTCTGCTTCCGATAACACGGGCTTCAGCGAGGACAGAATCTCTGCCTCTAACACAGAGAGCTAGCAGTCCTACACGTGCACAGTTGTTATTTGAAGATGTTCAGATGAAAACATTGTGTATGAACACGTAGTGCCAAATTATAATGATACAGTGTTTCCCTTGGACAGTGACATGTGACATGGGGCACTCCTTGGAGCATATAAATTGCCATCAACACAGGTGCTGGCACATTGTTCATTCCTCAGTATGAAGAAGCTTGTGCCATTGCAGATAAGTTGATAACTGCCACGGACATGATCCAGCCCGTAAGAGACTATAATCATAAGCGGAAAACGTGTGGTTAGTTTGTCAGCGGACGTCCTGTACACGTGTTAGTATAGTTCAACCAAGCAAGGTCAAGAATGGGCAAGAGGTCTACGGCATTTCTATTGTATTCTATCGATACAATACGATCGATAGTCGTCTGAAGCACCGCAATTAATTAACTCCAGAAACTTGTGATTGTGGGTTCTAAACCCGGTCGTCTAAGGCGCCGCGATTCCCTTGCGTCTTGGGCACGCCTAAAAACATAATCGGGGCGAACCGGGATTCGAACCCACAATCATAGGTTTCTGGCGTGCCTAAGGGACATAAGTTGAATGCTGTCCAAAGAGGCCTTAAAACTCACTCACTTAAACTCTGATACATCTCAATTGAGCCTTTGTGTGATAGAGCTCGAGGCATTGTATCTCTAGGCGTAAGGTACCAGTCTATTGTGAATTCCGGTGAATAATCTCCATAAAGTTTAAAATGTAAGAACGTGTGTAAACATATTTCATTCCAGTACCTACATATTTAGTATGCACCTACATGTTCATAACATGTTATTAATTAGTTGTTGTTTGTTGATTTTGTTTGTTGTTTAATGACGCACTCAGAAATATGCAAATATTGATTTGTGCTTGTCTGACACTAATAAAGAAATAAACATATTTTAGATGTTCAGGTCTCTTCCTTGTACACAAAGGATTATTACTCATAATAGTTACATTGACTACTGGTTTAGTATTTCCCACAAACGTTTTGCTCTGCTGGATTCTTGGGGGTTGCACACAAGCCCACAGCTCAGCATTCATTAAAGCGTCGCGCTTGGCAGTTTTGCATTCACGTTAACACACAGTCGGTGGTACACAGTCACTGAACAAATATTTGAAATATAGGTGAGGTGAGATGGGGTTTAAGGTCCTGTTCAATATTATTTTACACGCGGATCCTATTTGCGAACACTGATTTACAATGGTCCATTCATATCATTTCCGCCGCTATTTTGCCCTTTACGCCAAGTGGAATCTGTTTCGGCAGATTATGTGGCCTATCATTCCTTTGCATTGTCAATTTATATATTATGTAGCGACGTGCATTCATGTGTGTGCGTGTGCCTGTGCGTGTGCGTGTGCAGGTACGTGCGTACGTTCTTGTGTACTATGCCGGTTTTTTAGTACCAGCCAAAAAGCTGAAAAACCATGCTGCAGTTTATCATGAATACCCCAGTCAGACGCATTATGCTGACTCCGAGCCGACCCCTTACTGCCATATCATATCATTTCCGCAGCTATTTTGCCCTTTACGCCAAGTGGAATCTGTTTCGGCAGAAAATGTGGCCTATTATTCCTTTGCATTGTCAATTTATATATTATGTAGCGACGTGCATTCATGCGTGTGCGTGTGCGTGTGCGTGTGCGTGTGCGTGTGCAGGTGCAGGTGCGTGTGTACGTTCTTGTGTACTATGCAGTTTATCATGAATACCCCAGTCAGACGCATTATCCTGACACCGGGCCGACCCCTTACTGCCGAGCGCCATGCATGATCCGAGGGGCGTTCAATAAGTTTTGCAACTCCAATATAAGACCAAGTCGCAGAATATCTTTTGCACTTTTATTTTTCAATATAATCTCCATTCACCTCAATACACTTATTCCATTTGTCCTTCAAGCTTTTAATACCACTTTTATAGAAATCCGCAGATTGGCCCTCTAACTACGCCTCTGTGGCAGCCTTTATGTCCTCGTCATCCTGGAAGCGTCTTCCACGTAGGGCAGATTTCATTTGCCGGAACAGGAAATAGTCACTGGGGGCTAAGTCTGGGCTGTACAGTTAATTAACCCACCCTACAAGTGTATTGAGGTGAATGGAGATTATATTGAAAAATAAAAGTCATAAAGATATTCTGCGACTTGGTCTTATATTGAAGTTGCAAAACTTATTGAACGCCCCTCGTAACACGTTCCTACTTTTAACGTTTAAGAAGTATGAAGCGACCAGGGTATCGAACGACTACATGTACATTGCGCTCTCCAGGTAAACGGACGACATTTCACAGTAACATACTGTTTTTTTATTTATCCAGATGTGTCGCGTCCAAGATTATTGCACTTATATAGCGACGTGCATGCATGTGTGTGTGTGTGTGTGGCTGCTTGTACTAGTCCGGACTGATACCGATTTATAGTGCTAGCTCACTGAGATACCATGCCGCAGTTTAACATGAATACCCCACTCAGACACTGTATACTGACTCCGAGCCGACCAGTCCTTGCTTTAGTCCCTTAATGCCGAGCCCCATTTAACGTCTTTGGGTATGACACGGCCGGGGATCGAACCCCGGACCTTCCGCTCCCCGGGCGGACGCTCTACCACTAGACCACGGAGGCGGTCTCTAGGTAAACGATCTATCCACTACATCACGGAGGGGGTCTTTAATGCATACAGCCTCAAACCTTAGGCGTTATTATTATCATACGGGGGAAATACAGTCATTTTATTCTTCTTTTTATATTATTTTTATTTCCCATATACATGTACAGAAACAGCAATAACCAATGTCATGTAGAGTATTCATACAAACATAGTTACCAACACTGTTTACATGCACGGACAAGAATATTATCGAAATCCATTTTTATGCGTGATGGCAAAATATGAAGGAAATTTATCATGACTTCTTTCCGTGGTAGTGGATATATCGTCGGCGAGTGACACCGAATACCCTGGTTTGCTGCCCAAGCGTGTTTGTAGAAAAGAAGCCATACTCACTCTTTCACACTCAGTCACTCACTCATACAATCACCCACTCACTCAAAAATAATTGTTATGCTGGAAAGCGTGTTTGTAGAAAAGAAGCCATACTCACTCATTCACACCCAGTCACTCACTCATGCAATCACTCTTTCAGTCACTCATTCACACTCACTCACGCACTCTTGCTATAACCCACACATTCACTCGTAGCAGATGACGAAATTGTAATATGCTATGCTGTATAACTTGTTTATGACAAAGAGTGCGTAGAAAAGAAAAGCGTGTTTGTAGAAAAGAAGCCATACTCATTCATTCACACCCAGTCACTCACTCATGCAATCACTCTTTCAGTCACTCATTCACACTCACTCACGCACTCTTGCTATCACCCACACATTCACTCGTAGCAGATGACGAAATTGTAATATGCTATGCTGTATAGCGTGTTTGTGGCAAAGAGTGCGTAGAAAAGAAGCCATGCTCACTCACTCACGCACTCTTGCACTCACTCACTCACTCACTCGTACCAGATGACGAAATTGTAATATACTATGCTGTATAACTTGTTTATGACAAAGAGTGCGTAGAAAAGAAAGCTGTCATGTCTTCTTCATATACTCATGATCAAGTGGTGTTTGTCGTCCTTGAACAAACCCAAAGAAGCGTACACTCTGAATGTCATTGTTTACACATGGCTTAACGCAACGTTAATCGCGCGATCTTATTTGACGAGGAAATTGGATATTTAAGTGTAAGAGCTATGAAACTTAGTATTGCATAAACCAGGACACTGAGATATTGACATGTGTTCTTCGTGAGTACAAAAACATCCTTCATGCTGAGGCATTGTCAGGACAGGGTGTATCAGTAGTGTGGTTAATATGTGTCCATGCCCGTCCAATGTGTGCTAACTGCTTGTTTTGCTTACCATCTAATTGTTAACAATATGCCTTGTTGAAGCTGAATGGTTGACCTGGGTGCCGTTGTACAAAACAACCTTTACTAAGGTTGAACTTAGTTACTAAGGTTAATCTTAAGGTAACCTTATCAAAAAGTTACGCCCGTTGCACAAAACTACCTTTGGACAACCTTAACGTGGACAGGATACTTAGCGGCAATCTTAACTCAGGTTGAACTCTTTAGTGTGGGAGACTCAATTATGTCCGTAGTTACGGTTGAGAGTTATCTCCCCTGCTCGCATCTGCAGACGACTAATATTGCTACTTCAACATGACACAGCCGTCTACCAGTGCACAGAAACGGTGTCGGCAATCAAACTTTACATCAAGTGAGCTGACACTCTTGGCCGATGAAGTCAAGTGTCGCAGCCATGTTTTATTCGGCGCATTTTCTTCAACAATCACCAATCAATCCAAAATGAGGGAGTGGGATGCAATAGCCGCAAAGTAAGTTTTACCATACATTCAACCTAGCTGATCCAGCATCGTTACTTTGTAAATGAGATCAAATTTGTGTATCTATCATTCCTCACACATCAACAAGAAAGTAGCCATGTTGAAATTCAATGAAGTATCAACCTTAGCGTGGCTAAGGTTGGGTCTGACCAACCTTAAAATTTTCACCTTAACTAAGGCTACCTTAGCGTAAGGTAGTTTCATGCAACAGGGGGTCAACCTTAGTAAAGGCCTAAGGTTAACACTAAAGATATAAGGTAACCTTAGCGTTAAGGTTGTTTTGTACAACGGCACCCTGGTGTGTAGGCACGCCCATTGCGATGAAAGCTTTGACATTTACCACACTGGTGAAACCCTCGAGTACCTGACACACCTGGAAACATCATCAGGATGAATCTGGGATTCGAACACATGTTCATAGGTTCATGACACACCTAAGGGACACAACCTTGCATAGCTAAACTATAAACGGAGCGCAATGTACACGTCTGTGAATATGCCGACGTCTTCTTTATGTTATCTAAACGATTCAGTGTTGCTGTTTGCAATGTTATACTTTGTTATTCTTATAAATGAGGTTAAGTGAGTGAGTGAGCTTGGTTTAACGCCGCTTTTAACAGTATTCCAGTTATATCACGGGATGTCTGCTTAATGTGGGAGGAAAGCCAAAAGTGATGCAGGTCTCAGACGTTTACCACTTCGGTGAAACCCACAAGCACGGGTATGGTGCTGACAAACCTAGAAACTTAATCGGGGCGAACCGGGATTCGAACCCAAAATCATAGGTTTCTGGTGTGCCTAAGGGACGCAACTCTGCACAGCAAATCGCTGCGCCTTAGACGACTGGGCCACCCGTGCCCCCAATTGCAGCAGGACATTTTCTCACATGAATCTTTGTCGGTATAGGAAGATATCACTTTGAGAAAATGAGATGAAAACAAGGTACGTGTATATGGACTCGCTAACTATTCAAGGAATGCACAGACAAGTCTACATGGCCTATAATATCACCAGTGGTAACTCGAGATTGTATCACCAACAGATTTGAATTCTAGGTCGAATATATAGAGTGGAAGAGTATGGTTTCACGGCTATTTTTTGCAATATACCAGCTGGATCGCGGTGCGGTGGCACCAGGAATGGTCACATTGTACCCATTTAGGAAATCGAACCCGGGACTTTGGTTTGACATCTGCTAAACTAAAAAGTCCAGTTTCCACCCTTGTTGAACTAGGCTGATTTATGCAGTTACATTTTGACTGGACTAACGCGTCTATGTATAGTCCAAGACCCGTTTTATTACAATATAAGTATTGATTATCAATTAGATTGTCTTGTCTTTTTTTGAAGCAAATGCAAGTGACATGAGAGATGGAATCTTATTGGTCAATTGCAGGGACATGGAAAGGACATAACTCGTAATAGCCACTGGTGGCGCTACGATTGGGCCAGCCTAGTTCGCCAAGGGTGGAAACTGGACTTTCATAGTCAGTTAACGCCCTTGCCTCGAGAAGATGTCAGTTTAACGAGTCAAGGCTTTATCCGCTTAGCTATTCCAGGCCCAACACACCCCATTCATGACACATTCCAGCAGATATTCCGCGTCTGTTTTAGTTGTTTTCCCTCCAACGTTATGAATTTCCACCACGCATATTCAGTCGCCCCTTCCGCGTTTATCGTATTACGAGTTTAATGAGACCCTGTGCCCATCCAGTCGTAACAAGCCGGGTTGACAGATCGTAGTCTTATTCCGGATCTCCGTCGCGTCTAATGCGCCTGCCACAGATGTTCAAGGTAAGTGAGTGTAAATCTGTATGAATAAAATGTACTATGCGTCATTTCAGGATTTCTTACGAATGTCCGTATTGATTTTCACGAAAATAGCGTTTGTTCAGTTTGTGTTATTTCAATTTGGATGTCTACTTCATGCATGAACATTCCATACACAGCTGAACAACTACCCGTGAAATTTCGAATTATTATTATGCAAGTTTATTCACCTTTACCTGGGACAGAATCCGGCACTGGAGCTCAGACAGACACTGGCAAACAAATTGAACCTCAGACAGACGCGGCACAGACATTGTAGCTCAGGGAGACAACGACAAAAACACTGTAGTTCAGACAGACACAGGCACAAACACTGAACCTCTGACAGACATCGACACAGACAATGTAGTGGTGGTGGAATGGGGTTTAACGTCGCGTCCAAGATTATTGCACTTATATAGCGACGTGCATGTACGTGTGTGTGTTTGTGTGGCTGCTTGTACTAGTCCGGACTGATGCCGATTTATAGTGCTAGCTCACTGAGATACCATGCCGCAGTTTAACATGGATACCCAACTCAGACAGAGTATACTGACTCCGAGCCGACCAGTCCTTGCTTTAGCCCCTTAATGCCGAGCGCCAGACAGGGTAACAACAAGTACCATCTTTTAACGTCTTTTGGTAAGACGCGGCCGGGGATCGAACCCCGGACCTTCCGCTCTCCGGGCGGACGCCCTACCACTAGACCACGGAGGCGGTCGACAATGTACCTCAGTCAGACACTAGTATAGACATCTGTATGAGTGAAAGTTTAGGCGTCTTTTTATGATTTCTTACAAATGTCAGTATTGATTTTCACTTAAGAAACGTTTGTTCAGCTTGTGTAATTTCATTTTGGCTGTCAACTACATGACTGTACATTCCACACATTGCTAAACACCTAACCGTGACATTTCATATTGATATTGTGCATGTTTATTCAAGATCTAGTCATTTACACTGAAGGCGGCCTAACATGAGTGAGTGAATGAGTATGGTTTTACGCCGTTTTAGCAATATTCTAGCAATATCACGGCGGGGGATACCAGATAGTGGGCTTCACACATTGTACCCATATCGGGAATCGAACCCGGGTCTTCGGCGTGACGAGCGGACGCTTTAACTTTGAACCATGACAACATGAAACATCTTTGTTGGTGGCGAAAAAGAGGTATTGCACAAAGTGATCTCAGAATACAAATTTAGAAACTCTCTTACTTTAACATAGGGATCAGTCCCTTCTTGAATATAACTCGTCCACTGAGCAAAATAAGTCTGGATTAAATTTGCAATGTTAATCACTTAAAGTCAATAATACAAGTCACACACCCATCCGGGGGCACGGGTGGCCCAGTCGTCTTAGGCGCCGCGATTCGCTGTGCAGAGTTGCGTCTCTTGGGCACGCCAGAAACCTATGATTGTGGGTTCGAATCCCGGTCCGCCCCGATTATGTTTCTAAATTTGTCAGCACCATACCCGTGCTCGTGGGTTTAAACCGAAGTGGTAAAAGTCTGAGACCTGCATCACTTCGGGCTTTCCTCCCACATTAAGCTGACACGCCGCAATATAACTGGAATACTGTTAAAAGCTCATTCACTCACTCACTCACTCACACACCTATCCACTCAGTCACTCACAATCACTCTCATTCACTCACTCACTTAAAACATGTATATGCTGCGCAGATCCATCATTATGACATAACTCGTATAAACAACTTCCGTCTCCTTTAAGGCATTGTATACAACCAAGTGAAGGCTCGTGTTACCCTACATGATGTTTTAGAAGGTGTGACTGCTTAATGCCGAGATTTTTATTGGATATTGACAGGGTTTATTGCTTTATTTACAGTCACTTCATGGTCCGAAGTGTTATACAGTGGGTGAATTCATTGCTGGCGGAATATTTAACATGTTGATATATACTGATTGTGAGAGGTGAAATGGGGTTTAATTTTTAATATTTTAATATTTTGAGATTATTCCACTTCTACAGAGACGTAAAAGCATGTGTGTGTGTGGCTGCATTTACTGGTAGTACCATGTCTCAACGTCTTTTAGCATGAACCACCAACCTTCCTCAGGCCCTAGGGGGCACGGGTGGCCCAGTCGTCTAAGGCGCCGCGATTCGCTGTGCAGAGTTGCGTCCCTTAGGCACGCCAGAAACCTATGATTGTAGGTTCGAATCCCGTTTCGCCCCGATTATGTTTCTAGGTTTGTCAGCACCATACCCGTGCTCGTGGGTTTAAACCGAAGTGGTAAACGTCTGAGACCTGCATCACTTCGGGCTTTCCTCCCACTTTAAGCTGAAACGCCGTGATATGACTGGAATACTGTTAAAAGCGGCGTTAAACCCAACTCACTCACACACTCCTCAGGTCCTATAGACCAGGGACGCGGTTACTGATTATGAGGTCGTGTTAGTCACGTCAAAATAACTTTGAATAATACTTTTGTTATTTATAATATATTTATAGTGTAAACTTAACAATTTATTTACAACATGCACATACGTCAGCAAAACATTTTGGGAAACCGGTAAGCAAACGCACAATATGCTAGGATCTTATGATGAAACGTTAATTATAGTTAAAGTTAATTGATACAGCTATTCGGGACGGTCGAGTAGCCTCGTGCTTAAAGCGTTCGCTCGTCACGCCGAAGACATGGGTACAATGTGTGAAGCCCATTTCTGGTGTCCCCCGCCGTGATATTGCTGGAATATTGCTAAAAGCGGCGTAAAACCATACTCACTGACTGACTTATACATCTATTCTGTATGACCAATTTTCAGGGACCTGGTATTTGATGGAATATTGCAAAACGCGGCGTAAAACCCTACCTTATTCTGTTGACAGTTGAACGCTGTTGCATTTTCATTTATATCTCAATTTTGATAATCCTCAAAAACAAACACGTCTATCCATATCAAGGGCGCCATGGTTTGCGCTGCATCTACCGAGCAATGCAACACAATAAATAAAAGCTTATTATGGTCTGGATGGGAATGTAAAGCATACAGTAAAATATAATACGAATGAAAGAACATCTAAATTCCAATGTTGGATATCAAGTAGGCATACAGGAAATGCTCGTAACACTAAGTACAAACGATACCTGGAAAACTATTTTGGTGAGAATCCTGATTTTGGAGGCGAATAACCAAGGAAATTTCAATAAATGTATCAGACACGTGTAATAAAATATTTCTGATTACAAGGCATGGTAAGGATTTACCAAATTTCAGTTGAATCCATAATTATATTCAGACTAAATGCATCGGGACACAATAATGAGCCAGACCTCAGACCCTAGATAATAATTGTTACAGGATGTTAATTTTTTATTAAGCTGTCAATAATTAATGAACAATAGACAATCCGGACAATTATTTGAGTTGTACACACAGTGGGAGTTTTGTTTTAGTCATTTTGTATATTTTCCTACTGATTTCATGACAGATTTCATAACCTGTTCACAGTTACGTGAGGTAAAAGGTCATGTGAGATCTGTTAACCTATTATTTGATTATATTTTCCCGGAAATACCACCAATGAAAGGAAACATAATTCCCTTCCTTATTGGGCCAGTAAAAGCGGAAGGTTAATGAATTGACAATTGTACAGAGATATTAATATCTGAACCTCCATAACATGATCGGCACAGACACTGAACCCCCGAAAGACCCCGATAATGAACCTCAGACAGACACCGACACAGATCATGTACCTCAGACAGACACCGGCACAGACAATAAACCTCAGACAGACACCGACACAAATCATGTACCCCAGACAGACACCGGCACAGACAATGTACCTCAGACAGACACCGACACAGATCATGTACCTCAGACAGACACCGACACAGACACTCTAGCTCAGACAGATGCTGACACAGACAATGTACCTCAGACAGACACAGACAATGAACCTCAGACACACACAGACACAGACACAGACAATGTACCTCAACCAGACACAGACAATGAACTATTTTACCGGGAACAAATCTATCATTTATCGAAGAATTACGCAGATAGAATACATATTTATTCAGGCTGATACGTAACAATATATATCGCTGGATGGCAATTCACATTATCTCGCATTCTCCTCAGGGCATCCGTGATGTTGCTGCTACTGTTTTCGCTGTCGTACCTACCTGGAGTCATCACCGTCAATAGCGATGTTTTAATGGATGGCGATGCGGTCCTTGGCGGGATGTTCATGGTACAAAACTATAAAGGGGGATCATGTGACAGTATAGTTCAAAGCTCCATACAGACGCACGAAGCAATGAGATGGTTCTTTAAGAAACTAAATGACAGAAACTACATTCAAAATGTTTCACTCGGTAGGTAATCTTTTTTTAAACTCAGAGTGAAAAATGTGTTGTTGGTATTTTACTTTCAGTATTTTTTCTCACATTACTCTAAAATGTTATTACACCGTGTAGCTAACCACATTTGTAAGTACGCATTAGAAATGACCAAACATCAATTTTCACAGCAGGATCAAATACAACACATACCTGTTAAAATCGATGTGAGTAACAGGGACAGTAACAGTCTGAACTGTCTACCTGCCTCAAGTCTTACAGTGATAAACTGTCTACCTGCCTCAAGTCTTACAGTGATAAACTGTCCACCTGCCTCAAGTCTTACAGTGATAAACTGTCTACCTGCCTCAAGTCTTACAGTGATAAACTCTCTACTTGCCTCAAGTCTTACAGAGATAAACTGTCTACCTACCTCAAGTCTTACAGAGATAAACTGTCTACCTGCCTCAAGTCTTACAGTGATAAACTCTCTACTTGCCTCAAGTCTTACAGAGATAAACTGTCTACCTGCCTCAAGTCTTACAGAGATAAACTGTCTACCTGCCTCAAGTCTTACAGTGATAAACTCTCTACTTGCCTCAAGTCTTACAGAGATAAACTGTCTACCTACCTCAAGTCTTACAGAGATAAACTGTCTACCTGCCTCAAGACTTACAGTGATAAACTCGCTACCTGCCTCAAGTCTTACAGAGATAAACTGTCTACCTACCTCAAGTCTTACAGTGATAAACTCTCTACTTGCCTCAAGTCTTACAGTGATAAACTGTCTACTTGCCTCAAGTCTTACAGAGATAAACTGTCTACCTGCCTCAAGTCTTACAGTGATAAACTCGCTACCTGCCTCAAGTCTTACAGAGATAAACTGTCTACCTACCTCAAGTCTTACAGAGATAAACTGTCTACCTGCCTCAAGTCTTACAGTGATAAACTCTCTACTTGCCTCAAGTCTTACAGAGATAAACTGTCTACCTGCCTCAAGTCTTACAGAGATAAACTGTCTACCTGCCTCAAGTCTTACAGTGATAAACTCTCTACTTGCCTCAAGTCTTACAGAGATAAACTGTCTACCTACCTCAAGTCTTACAGAGATAAACTATCTACCTGCCTCAAGTCTTACAGTGATAAACTCGCTACCTGCCTCAAGTCTTACAGAGATAAACTGTCTACCTACCTCAAGTCTTACAGTGATAAACTCTCTACTTGCCTCAAGTCTTACAGTGATAAACTCTCTACTTGCCTCAAGTCTTACAGAGATAAACTGTCTACCTTCCTCAAGTCTTACAGTGATAAACTGTCTACCTGCCTCAAGTCTTACAGAGATAAACTGTCTACCTGCCTCAAGTCTTACAGTGATAAACTGTCTACCTGCCTCAAGTCTTACAGTGATAAACTCGCTACCTGCCTCAAGTCTTACAGTGATAAACTGTCTACTTGCCTCAAGTCTTACAGTGATAAACTGTCTACCTGCCTCAAGTCTTACAAAGATAAACTGTCTACCTGCCGCAAGTCTTACAGTGATAAACTGTCTACCTGCCTCAAGTCTTACAGTGATAAACTGTCTACTTGCCTCAAGTCTTACAGTGATAAACTGTCTACCTGCCTCAAGTCTTACATAGATAAACTGTCTACCTGCCGCAAGTCTTACAGTGATAAACTCGCTACCTGCCTCAAGTCTTACAGAGATAAACTGTCTACCTACCTCAAGTCTTACAGAGATAAACTGTCTACCTGCCTCAAGTCTTACAGAGATAAACTCTCTACTTGCCTCAAGTCTTACAGTGATAAACTCTCTACTTGCCTCAAGTCTTACAGAGATAAACTGTCTACCTGCCTCAAGTCTTACAGTGATAAACTCGCTACCTGCCTCAAGTCTTACAGAGATAAACTGTCTACCTACCTCAAGTCTTACAGAGATAAACTGTCTACCTGCCTCAAGTCTTACAGAGATAAACTCTCTACTTGCCTCAAGTCTTACAGTGATAAACTCTCTACTTGCCTCAAGTCTTACAGAGATAAACTGTCTACCTACCTCAAGTCTTACAGAGATAAACTGTCTACCTGCCTCAAGTCTTACAGTGATAAACTCGCTACCTGCCTCAAGTCTTACAGAGATAAACTGTCTACCTACCTCAAGTCTTACAGTGATAAACTCTCTACTTGCCTCAAGTCTTACAGTGATAAACTCTCTACTTGCCTCAAGTCTTACAGAGATAAACTGTCTACCTTCCTCAAGTCTTACAGTGATAAACTGTCTACCTGCCTCAAGTCTTACAGAGATAAACTGTCTACCTCACTCAAGTCTTACAGTGATAAACTGTCTACCTGCCTCAAGTCTTACAGTGATAAACTCGCTACCTGCCTCAAGTCTTACAGTGATAAACTGTCTACTTGCCTCAAGTCTTACAGTGATAAACTGTCTACCTGCCTCAAGTCTTACAAAGATAAACTGTCTACCTGCCGCAAGTCTTACAGTGATAAACTGTCTACCTGCCTCAAGTCTTACAGTGATAAACTGTCTACTTGCCTCAAGTCTTACAGTGATAAACTGTCTACCTGCCTCAAGTCTTACAGAGATAAACTGTCTACCTGCCGCAAGTCTTACAGAGATAAACTGTCTACCTGCCTCAAGTCTTACAGTGATAAACTGTCTACGTGTCTCAAGCCTTACAGTGATAAACTTACAGTGGTAAACTTACAGTGATAAAGTTATGACGCTTAACTTACAGGATTACATATAATTTACAGTATCAAATATCTATTGTAAATATTTAGTCATTTTGTTCAATAAATTTAAACTCTTTGTAGTTTGTATAAATAATATTATGTATATAAATACATTATTCTTTTGTTATCTAGGGCATTACATTTAAACAGAGAATTCGTCTCCAATAGTTAGTGACTTCCAGAGATGGTACGTTCAATCCTCCCAGGATAGACCATGCCATCTGCCAGATTCTACGGGTAGAGTGTGATTTGAGGTTCTAAATTTAAGAAGGGGATATGAAATAACTTTAGGGAGCAGTATATATGTTTCGAAGGAAGGCAAATGTTTAAAGGAAGAATATTCGTTTCCCTTAGAATTTGACCGTAGAGTACTATTCCATGAGCGGAAGAAGTGATATTTCAATGTTATTTCTATAGTTGGTGTAAGCCATAATGAGTTGAAGTCTTGGGGGTAACAGAAAACTTCACTTAATCAACAGCGATCAAGTATATATTAAACCTTATTTAGTCAGACATTTTATTATTAACATATATAATAATATAATATCAGCTTGATATCGGTGTCAATTATGCTTTTAAAGACAGTACTCCAATATAAAGAAAGATAAACCCAGAAACATGGAATACACAGATTCCGTTGCAAACTTGCTGGGCGTGTGAGAATAAATAGTCTCTATGTATGAACAAGATCTTTTGAAGATATTGAAAATTTATGCTTTCCACTGGTCATGAATAAGCCATTCAAATTACAAGAATTAACAATTTAAGCCTTGTGATAGTTACTGTTGAGATGCTACGGTAAGGCTTGATCATGGAATAGTTCTCTACCGTCAAATTCTAAGGGAAACGAATATTCTTCCTTTAAAAATTTGCCTTCCTTCGAAACATATATACTTCTCCCTAAAGTTATTTCATATCCCCTTTTTAAATTGAGAACCTCAAATCACACTCTACCCGTAGAATCTAGCAGCTGGCATGGTCTATCCTGAGAGGATTGAACGTGCCATCATTACAAGTCACTATCTATTGGAGACGAATTCTCTGTATAAATGTAATGTCCTAGATAACAAAAGTATAATGTATTTAGATACAGATTATTATTTATACAAACTTCAATGAGTTTAAATTTACTGAACCAAATGTCTCAATATTTACAATTGATATTTAATATGGTACATTATATGCAATCCTATATGTTTAGGACCGCCTCTGTGGTCTAGTGGTAAAGCGCCCGCCCGGATAGCGGAAGGTCCGGGGTTCGATCCCCGGCCGCGTCACACCAAAATACGTTAAAAGATGGTACTTGTTGTTACCCTGTCTGGCGCTCGGCATTAAGGGGCTAAAACAAGGACTGGTCGGCTCGGAGTCAGTATACTCTGTCTACCACGAATATCCCGAATCACCCCGAAAAGGAAACTTTCGCAATTCGTGATGATTCGGCCAATAATGCAAACTTTCGTAGCTAAAAATATAAAGAAAGCCAGAATGGGTTAAGAAACATGTACGAATTAAAAGATTCATGTACGGATCATGCACAAATTGTTAGAATCACCTACGACTAAGTTACGAATATGCCGAATGTTATTCTTGCTTATATTAATTAATTCTTACATGATTCGTAGTTGACTCGGGACTTTCGTGGCTGTTTCGGAATGTTTTCGGATTGAGGACAAGAAATGTTGGGAGCCACGAATCCATAAGAATAGCCAAGATTGCAAAAGAATCGATTAAGAAGCTGTTACGGAACATAAGAATTACGAATGGATTACGATACAGCAACGAAATTTCAATTCGGGGACCCTTCCACGAAAGTTTGTGACAAACAAAAATTTTCTCGCCGATTCGACGAACTCCCGCGAACTGTACGAATGTTTGGGAATCAAATAAGATTCATTTGAGAAGTTCAAGAAATGATTGAGATTTATCTACGAACAAGAACGATTTCCTTTTCGGGGTGATTCGGGATATTCGTGGTCGTAGTGAAATGGGGGCATGAACTAGCACTATAGATAGGCAACAGTCCGGACCAGTACAAGCAGCCGCACCCACACATGTGCATGCACGTCGCTATATAAGAGCAAAAATCTTGGACGCGACGTTAAACCCCATTTAACATCACCAACATGTTTAGCGTCATACCTTCTTTACCATACCTCAGTGTGTTTTATGTATTACATCTATGGCATTTAACTTTCCTCTTGTACCACTGTGGGTGGTTCTAATGGGAATCAAGTTTGACCTAAGGAAATTATTCTCAAACTAAATGAAAACAATAATTGCCATGTTCTCCTTGAAAAACATTCTTAAAACCATGCTCCTATAAGTGGTGACTGTGCTAAAATATTTGTTAAAATTGTTATATTTGGTATAAACATTTGGTGTAAATGTTTCATTGTAGATATATAGATTGTTGGAGAAAGAATGTTATAATATATACAAAGATGGGACACCACCCATTCCCTCTTGCCCTACAAAGGGGGCACGGGTGGCCCAGTCGTCTAAGGTGCCGCGATTCGCTGTGCAAAGTTGCGTCCCCTTGGACACGCCAGAAACCTATGATTGTGGGTTTGAATCCCGGTTCGCCCCGATTGTGTTTCTAGGTTTGTCAGCACCACACCCCTGCTCGTGGGTTTCACCGAAGTGGTAAACGTCTGAGACCTGCATCACTTCGGGCTTTCCTCCCACATTAAGCTGACACGCTGCGATATAACTTGAATACTGTTAAAGCGGCGTAAAACCCAACTCACTCACTTACTATTGCCTTACACCCCTAACAAAATAAATAAGTAGATACCAATCGGTTGCCATGCATGGCTGGCTGCAATGATTCGACCGATTAGAAAGTAATGCACTCAGGCGTTTGACAACTTTTTTCTAGGAATTCGACTGATCAGGAAGTAAACTGAGATTTCATGTTGCAGGTTTACATGCATACAAAACCTGCGGCCAGCCCCCTCTGGCGGTAAAGGCAACCATTGCAATGATGAACAAATGGAATGGTATATCTAAACTCCAAGGTAAGGCGTGTTTATATAAAGAAATATTTGACTCTCTATCTCCGGTATATGTAATATACTCTGCAAAAAAAGAAACGCAAACGTGATTTTAGATGTATATTTTATATATCATATGAATAATAAACAGTTGGTAATCGATTGTTCACAATAGGCACACATCATTGTCATTGACCATGGCACACACTGAACAGTAGAGTTTCAAGGTGAAGGTCATCTGTTCTCAATATTTTGTATGACCACCATTAGTGTCCAAAACTGGCATCGTTGTCCCATGGAAGCAGATCCCGAATTGTGTCCTGGGGAATGTTCACCCACTCTGCCTGCTGTTCTTGTGCCAACCGTCGGAGGTTCTATTGATGTTGCTGACATGCTCGCAGTCGTTGATCTAATGCATCAATAAATGTTTGATTGGGTTTAAATCTGAAGACAGGGGAGGGGGAGGGGGAGGGGGAGTGCAAACTCAGGTTTTCAAAACATTTTCCCAGGTGTTATATACATGTATGATATGCAATAAATAATTATACACATTGTTTGTAATGACATATAAAACATATATGAGATATTAAGATGTGTTTGAACACAGATGAACACTCCATTCACGTCCATGAAATACTTGTAAATATACCTGTATGTATAGCACATTGACAGTATCTGTTTCATAATTGCAGGGCGGTCGGGTAGCCTAGAGGGTAAAGCGTTCACTCGTCAGGCTTAAGACCCGGTTTCGATTCCCACATGGGTACAATGTGTGAAGCCCATTTCTGGTGTCCCCCGCCGTGATATTGCTGGAATATTGCTAAAAGCGGCCTAAAACTATACTCACTCATATTTCATAGTAACTAACGTATCCCGATAATACATGATAGCAAAATTCATTTTCTTAGGTGTTGCGGGGCCTGAATTCAGTTCAGAAACCCAGTCCGTGTCTCGTCTACTGAGTTCACTACCTGAGGAAGATCGTCTGCTGCAGATCAGCTACGCCGCCACAGCCGCCATTCTCTCTGACAAGAGTATTTACAAAAACCTGTACCGGGTCATAGAAACGGATGATATACAAGTAGACGTAAGAGATCCAACATGTTTTAAAGACTGTACAGTGGGTCAATCTGGTGGATGGTATTCCAACACAGGCAAAGGGTGTATGAGTGTCTACCAAAACTGGGTCAGAGAAACGATGATTTTAGCAATCGCTGGCTGATTTGGTGTCTAGTCACATTTCAGCGTAGTGTGCTGATGTTGTGTTGAAACACAGACAATCACAAAGGCACGCCTATCGTTTATTCAATAACAGGTGACCCGTGAAGATCCGGGTTAGATCGTAAGCAACATATATACATACATGTCGTAAGAGGTGGCGGGTGGTCCAGACTCGATTTACTAACCGCCGTCATATATCCGGAATATTGCTGACGCGGAGTTAAAAAAATAAACAAGAAGAGGTCATGGGTTGATAAATAACATTGTAAGATCACGTCAGTGTTCAACCTATTTCACATTTATGTCCCTTGGTAAGATTAACTTGATTTCTATTGCTGCTATTGATTGGAATACACACTCTGTGCAGTGATGATGTTTTATTCCAAACATTTCTCCTATCATTACATCAACATTATTAAACCACCTAGCTTGGTGTATTGCCTTAGCAGACATATTACGGCAAAATATTATTTTTTCAGTTTGTAAAATTACAGTAGGCATGCTGAAGTCATACTGCATGCAGTTGTAATAAGTAAGGTCTAATGAATGTGCCACTTTCTCTCACTGCTTGTTGCTTGTTTGATCAGCAATATTCCATCTATATGACGGTGGTCAGTAAATAAGCGTGTCTAGACCAGACAATCCAGTGATTGACATCATGAGCATCGATCTTACGCAATTCTGATACGATGACATCGATCAACCAAGTCAGCGAGCCTGATCAAGCGATCCCGTTAGTCGCCTCTTACGACAAGCATCGTCGCCTTTTACATCTATCATGGGTTGCTGAAGACCTATTCTAACCAAGATTTTAATGGGTCTGGGACAGCTGTAATGCCAATATCAGAGGCTGTATGTTGATTTCGTTGAGATTTTGATCTTTTCAATACATTTTACTTTATGCATCCATCTTTTTTGGTTTTAAACCAGAGTGATTTGAAACTGTGGTGAAGTTTTTGGCTGTCAGTTTATATAAAAAAGCGTTTATTAAGTGGAACACTGTTATCCATCCATCAGCTGAGTAAACATATGACACTTATATATCACCAAAGGTTGAATTTATAATTTACAGTTTTACATGTATTTAATAAAAAATGTCAACGCAAATCAGAAAGCACACAGGGTAAATACATTTTTTAAAATAAACTTGTGCAATACCATTTCTTTATATCATGAACGGATTAATATTATATAATTCAACGTAGATGGAATTGTAATACAATTACATGTCAGGAACAAATCACAAATTGAATGAATATACAAGTATGATCAATATTCTATCCAGATTATGGTTCAGCTGATGAAGTCACTCGAGTGGAACTATATTGCCATCGTGTATGATAATGACACGTACGGCAGAGAAGGAGCCGAATCGCTGAAATCTGCGGCAGAGAGACAGGGTATATGCGTACCAGTGTACGTTTCTATATCTCCAGGATCCGGAAGCGAAGAACAGCGAAAACGTTTTCAGTCAATTGGTGATAAGCTTGAACAAGAATCAGAATCGCCAGTCCTTGGTTTGGCTTTTTTCGGCCATGCTGAAACAGCAAAAACGATGTTTGATTTCCTTGACATCAAGCTCAGCATCTTCCAGATGATAGTGTCTGAGTCTATTGGTGATAGTGAATCTTATTTGATGACGTCCGACGGAAGCGTGTACCCATTAGCCAAAGGACTTCTCACGCCAAGTCCTCCATACTATGATGTCACGCTATTCAAATCACACTGGCAGTCGATTCACACCGATGCTACTGCAATGTTAGAAAGCATACAAAATAATGATTGGCTGTTGAAATACATGGAACAAGTAAGCGGGTGCCCTTTGACAAATGCAACAGATGTTCCACTAAACTGTCTTCAACAGTCCACAGCTTCAGTACCACGTATTTCCATCTACACCAACTACGCTCTGATGGCCGCAGCCGCCTTTGCAAAGACGTACAAGACCTTATATGAGAGGAAGTGTCCTCAGCAAACAGGTACTATATGTAAAGAGCTTGAGGATTATATCGCCAACAAGGCCAAATTTACTGAGGAAATGGCTTCAGTAGAAGTCAACTCTGCCGCTGAGTTTACAGAGCTGTCACCCTTTCGGTTAAAGTTTGGATTCAAGAACGGAGAGATTTTGTATAAGGAAAGTGGAAACTACTCGACCTACATCGTGTACAACTACCAGAAATGCAACACTGGGTTTTGCAATGTACAGGTGAGAGAAAATGTGTGCGCATCGCCCTATGCGATAGATTACTGAAATTTTAATGATATATTAAACCCATATCAAGTAAAGATTGAAACAATTAAAAAGTTCCAATGTGATCAAATGTGTTTGTTGTCCATACATATACGAGGCAAGATGTTCCACAAATCCGTATGAACTAAATACACCCTGTATTTCAATCAATCTGGATATAAATCTTGTTACTAAAACGCCCGTTTCAGAATGATTCCACAAGTTTGGATTGAAACAATTCCGACTGTGTAGTAATACTCACAACCATTGCATTAAGTAAGACGAGTTCTATGGATGAACAAAGTCTTTATTACAATTAGTGCGACGTTTCGGTGTAGATCCTAAAACCTTTATCAAGCAAGTGATGGATGGTGCTAAACAAATGCCACTCAAAGAAATTATACGTCGTCTACATGGAGACGTGGCAATCTCAGCTATCAACAACCCATGTTGTTGAGCACCATCCATCACCTTGATAAAGGTGTTAGGATCTACACCGAAACGTCGCACTAATTGTAATAAAGAAGTTGTTCATCCATAGAACTCGTCTTACTTCATCACACCAACTTCTAAATGCCACTCAAAGAACCATTGCATTGTAGGTTGCAGACTATAATGGTTCAAAGGTGAATGTATCCAAGGAGAGCATAAGGTCCTACACAAGTGCTGGTGATGAGGTGATGGGGCCCGTAGCAGCACAGTGTCAACCGACGTATACATGTGATATGTGCAGTCGTATCATCACCCCTGCAGATGTGTTATACATTCCTGGAGACTACTACATAGTGGGGCTTGTCCCCATCCACAACAATAAACAAGGCGACCTTCTACAGTGTGGTGAACTGAGGACAGCCGACAGTGTTGATATTGCCGAAAGTATTTCCTATGCAGTTAAGAGAGCCAACTCGCAGAAAACTACGTACAGATCGGCTTTTGGGGGAAAAACTGTTGGACTGGTTCTGATTGACACTTGCAATAATCCGTTCAGGGCTAGAGAACAAATAATACAGTTGCATCGAGGTGAACTGAAATTGATGTCAAATTTAAACAGTTCCCTGATTGTTGATAAAATATTTGGATACGTTGGGCCATACGCCAGCTCCGTCTCTGTCCCGGTGTCGACTCTCTTGGCCGAAATAGATAAGCTTTTAATTGCCTATGCTGCAACCTCCGTTCTTCTCAGTGACAAGTCCTTGCATCCTACCTTCATGAGAACATGTTCTCCTGACAATAAGCAAGCTGATGTTATTATGGATCTTGCTAACACTTTGGGCGCCAAGTATGTTCAAATATTGTACACAGATGAAGTGTATGGCATAACAGGAAAGGAAGCACTAGAAAAGTCCGCAAAGACTCGCAAAGTTTGCATCGCTCAATCTCTGAAGATCCCGGACACGACTGTTGCTTCCAGTTTTGTTGGCTACGTTTCTGCGTTGAGGCAATTTTGCCATGCTAAAATGGTTATCGTCTTTGTGCGGTCTCATGTGACACCCATTCTAATGACTGCACTCAATAAGGAGGTAAACAATGGAGAGTTCGTGTTTATTGGTGGAGAAAGTTGGGGGAAACGTCCACAGGCTCTGATGAATAACTTTAAATTACGCGGCAGTTTAACCATTGGACAAGATCTGCCACGGAACGTGGGTTTTGGAGATCATTATCATGAAATAGATTTACAGCAAACAGAAAACCTTTGGTTGCAGGGCTACTTAGAAGAACGTAGCAAGTGCTATTACCCTTTGAGTTTTAAGAAGACCCACACAAATCAATGTAGCGCTTCAACGTTAAACGAGTACCGTTATACAGACACATGGGTACCGTTTGCCATGAATGGTGTATATGCCCTTATCATGGGATTTAATCAAATTCTTGAAGACACTTGCTTCGGTTCTTTTCCAAATTGCCCCGATTATTCTACAGCTAAACTAATAGAAAAAGTTAAGAATATTCGCCTTGATGTTTATTACGATGGCAGAGATGTTCGTGTATTCGACGACAACGGTGAAGGCAATGTAGCATACACTATCTATCAGATTATCAGAGAAGGAACTGCTCTCAGCTACAAAAAGGTGAGTTAGTAAATAATAAAGATTTGTCGGTAATTTTCTCTAATATAACCCACCACAATACCTTACAAAATAATATTAAAATTACAATAAATGAAATAGATAATATTATTATTCTCAAAAACGCGAGAGAAACAGTTTTGTTTAGTGTTTATTTGTTTGTCTGTTGCAGTCAATGTGTAAACAATCACTTAGCCAAGCAACAAACCCCCTAAATATTTCAGTCAGTTTACTAATTATTCAAATAACGAATTCCAAACATTTTTATGTTGAATTTCATCACCAGGGCTTGAAAATAATAGGATTAAAAGAAAACGAAAATCAATTTTGTATTTTAATTTTGTTTCGCTTCTAGCATAATTAGTCTATTGTGATGTTTCAAACTATTTTTGAACTTCTAAATAATTTGTAGACAATCTGTCAAATAATCGGACTGATATTCAGTTAATTTGTAAAATAACTTAAATATTTAGGCATTTTATAAGTTGCCTACGTGAATCAAATTTTGTACATTGACTGCAACATATATCATTATAGCTGATAATGTTATACCAAGTTACAGAACGGTTATTTCTCTAGATTGGAACGTCTGAAAATGGTCTACAGCTTGCGGTTTCAAACCTCGATACGTCGTTTGAAGTGGACCTTTCATCTAGTTGTCAAAACGATGTGGAATGCGGCAGATGCTCCAAACAATTCAATGAATCTGCTTCCAGGTAAAGACGTATTTGAATTATTTGCATCTCGTTGTTTCCATCTTCCCAGCTGTCATTACTAGGCAAGTAATAGACGCAGCTGTCATTTCTAGTGTACCCCTTCTTACATAACTGTAAATATTGAGATATTATGCCTCACACAGCTGTCATTTCTAGGGTACCCTTTCTTACATAACTGTGATTATAGAGTTATTATGCCTTACACAGCTGTCATTTCTAGGGTAAACCCTTCTTACATAACTGTGATTATTGAGATATTATGCCTTACACAGCTGTCATTTCTAGGGTATCCCTTCTTACATAACTGTGATTATTGAGATATTATGCCTTACACAGCTGTCATATCTAGGGTACCCCTTCTTACATAACTGTGATTATTGAGATATTATGCCTTACACAGCTGTCATTTCTAGGGTATCCCTTCTTACATAACTGTGATTATTGAGATATTATGCCTTACACAGCTGTCATTTCTAGGGCATCCCATCTTACATAACTGTGATTATTGAGATATTATGCCTTACACAGCTGTCATTTCTAGGGTACCCCTTCTTACATAACTGTGATTATTGAGATATTATGCCTTACACAGCTGTCATTTCTAGGGCATCCCATCTCACATAACTGTGATTATTGAGATATTGTGCCTTACACAGCTGTCATTACTAGGGCATCCCATTTTACATAACTGTGATTATTGAGATATCGTGCCTTACACAGCTGTCATTTCTAGGGTACCCCTTCTTACATAACTGTGATTATTGAGATATTATGCCTTACACAGCTGTCATTTCTAGGGCATCCCATCTCACATAACTGTGATTATTGAGATATTGTGCCTTACACAGCTGTCATTACTAGGGCATCCCATTTTACATAACTGTGATTATTGAGATATCGTGCCTTACACAGCTGTCATTACTAGGGCATCCCATTTTACATAACTGTAAATATTGAGATATTGTGCCTTACACAGCTGTCATTACTAGGGCATCCCATTTTACATAACTGTGATTATTGAGATATTGTGCCTTACACAGCTGTCATTAATAGGGCATCTCATTTTACATAACTGTGATTATTGAAATATTGTGCCTTACACAGCTGTCATTACTAGGGTACCCAGTCTGAAATTACTGTGATTATGAGGGTATTCTGCATCACACAGCTGTCATTTTGAGGTATTCTTGCCTAACACAACTGTCCGTTTTGGGGAATTCTGCCTTACATTATAACTGTCATCTTTAGGTTATTCCCCTCACACACCTGTCATTGTTAAGGTATACAGCCTTACATATCTGCCATTATTAAGGTATTCTACCCTGTATAGGTCACCAGTTTAGCATTCTGTCCTCAACATCTGTCACATCTGAGCATTCTCTTCTACACATATATCACGTTCGGAGAGTAATTTGAGTTGTACTGAATAACAATTTACCACTGACATTATTAGAATACACATTTTTACGTTTGTTTTCTGTATTCTTTAAAGCGGACGTGTGGACGGCGACACCCTGCCATCTATCAGCCTTGGTGTGATTGTGGCTGTGCTCGTCATCATTGTCCTCGTACTCGTAATTGTGTTGGTCAAGACCTGTCGGACAGCTGCTTCGAGGGGTGGTCAGATATTTTTATCATGTTTTTATTTCCCCATATCAGTTAACATTGATTGATATAACATTCCTTAGAGTACAAAGCATAAAACCTGATACCTAACATCATTTCAGCTACACGTCATTTTCAGTTTTCTTTGACAGCTAACTGAGTATTCAAAGCATTGTTATTTTTATCTTAAAATCCAAATCATTTAATGTAACATTTATTCATAAAACATTATGTTCTTTCATACTTCCAAGTTATGTAGTCATCTTCTTCATTATCTCTCCAGCATTTATGCGTACACAATAATAAAATATAAATGAAAAAGCCCTTCCCATAATCATACGAAACATCTTGTTCTAACGGATCTTGTTCTTTCTTGTCCATTGTTCGATTCCGACCATATCAGAAGCATTTCTTTATGAATCATTGTCAATCAGGTATTCGCGAAAGGGTGAGCGTATCCTTCCCCACTGTTGGCACCGTCCAAAACACATACAAGGGCAAGTCAATTGTTCACCTGAAATAACATGGGGACATATGGTACAAGTCAAAATATGTAATTGCATCGGACATCTTTTTTGTCAAAGAATGTGAACTGTTTCTGTTGATTCTTTACATAATTGGCGTAAGGGAGAATCTAGAAACCAGAGAGTTATTATTATTTTGAGTTTTCTTCTCATTAGCGCTAATATATCTGCACAATAATAATGTATGGTGATCTGATATCACCTTGACTTCAACCTCTACCAACTTGACAAAAATAGTCAGTCAACCGAATCCAAAGTCTACAAGTAGTAACAATCAACGTATTTAGTAAGATCATGTGTAGTCGCATCACATCACTGTCACATCACATCATATATTAATCATGTTCTTTCTCGTACATATAAATGCCAGGAGTAAAACGTTTATGGTCCTTAATTATCAAAAGAGTGAGTGAGTTGATATTTTACGTCATATCAGCACTCATTTCAGCCATATCATGATCAGTTATCAAAAGAAGTATTCATATTACTATATTTAATATAACTACTGAAGTGTTAGTAAAGGAAATTGATCGCCAATGTTTCACTGATGCTTGAGAGGAGGGGTTGTCGCATTCATATTGAGTTGCATTTTTTGGCTAGGGGCCAGTCGTCGCATTCTTATAGAGACGCATTAATTTCACGACTTACAGTTTTTTTGAGAAACATGCTATTAGTCCTTGTGTAACGAAATCTCACCCATTTCTGTATGTAACAGTTAGGGGTTTATGAATATTTACCAAAATCACTCCAACAACAATTCTTTGGTCTTGGACTGTTTTCATTTTTCATATTTCTTCATGCGGCGAGGGTTTCTCACTCTAAGAACAGTCTTTACTTGAATATGACGTTTTAATTTTATGTCTTAGTTGTTTCGAGTATACGTTCGTGGGTCCTAAAAGGGGAACCCTCATTTCTGTTCAATTTCAGTGATAGACTGATTCAGAAGATTTCTAAATTCAAGTTGATAAACACATTTACATATCTTTCTTTCTCATCCATTACAATGTAATGCCCTCATGTGGACCCGTGTAGACAGCTTATAGATATATTGTATTTCATAAAGTAACAGCACCCTCAACATTTTCATACATACGTTTTAAACGTACGAGTGCAAATTTGACCTGTTGCAAAAATGTATGTATTGTACCAATCTTGAATAATGAAGGACAAACCATCATATAAAGAAATAATATAGTCATGTGCTGAAACTATTGTCCATTCAAAACACATCCTTTGCACAATATTAATATATTTATGGCAATGTAAATTATGGCAGGTATATCTGAAACTATATTCTGTCTTCATTATTAGCATCATGATGATGATAATTGTCAACTGTTTGAAGACATGTGTATACCTTTACAACATGCATAATAAATAATAGATGAATAATGAATAAATGTTAAACTGATATTGCAATATTGGAATGCCATATCGTCAAGATCAGATGGATTTTCATGTTTTGATCCAGTTCAAGCGCCCCGTAGTTCAATCGTTCGCGCTCGTCACGCCGAAGGCCCGTGTTCGATTTACCCCACACAGGTACAATGTGTTCAACCAATTTCTGGTGTCCCCGGTTGGAATATTACTAAAGGCGTAGTAAAATCATAGTCAGTCATTGAACATTATAACCATGTATCATCCTGATTGCTTTGGTCGTCGCGCCAGTTGTGCCATTGTTTTCACTGTTTGCGAAGAGGCCAATTTCAACGTGACGTCATACCATCGCTTCGACACAAATTACTAGATGACCTTAGATACAACATAAAGAAGCACGTTCTCAACTCGGCCTTACGATTTATCTGAAATTAAAATATTTTTGTCAATCAATTCATTCGGGACAGATTCACTCCCTACATTGTGTAATTATAACTATTCAAACTGAAGGACTGTTACAACGAACACTGTTCTATCACATGGTAAGCTGTTATCACTTAGTACCTATGACAAGAATTTGTGCTATCACACACTATTAGATAAATCGTGACAATTGTTACCTCAAGTAATTAACTTGTGTAAACATTCAAGCCGTTAGTAAAGCTTTCAAAATGAGTTATGGTAGACATGTGGAGGACAATAAAGTTCCAAATCTGACGCTTCAGTGACAAAAATGATATCCGTTATCTTTTCAGGTGAACAATTGTCTTGCCTTTGCATGTATTGGGACGGGTGCGACTGATGGAGTATGATAAGCTTACCTATCATCTTTTCGCGAAAACCTGGTAGCATCACTATTTGGTAGGGAATCAGAAAAAAACATGAAAAAGGGTATTTGCGTTTTTTCTTTATTTTGTGAATGCATGCTGTAACGATATGAAAAAAGATGACCACACGACTTACAGAAGAACGTAGAGTTTTCATATGAAAAAAAGTTACCATTGAATCAGAAGCATTCTTATGATGTAATTAGAATCGTTCAATGGACTCTGCTTTTAGTAAGTGTCTTTGAAGGTAATATAGAAGTGATACACATGAAAAGAAATTATGGATGTCAACTTCTTTATTATGAGGAACACAACGTTTCGGAGTGTATACCTACTCCTTCATTCACCTGTTGTAGGTATACACTCCGAAACGTGGTGTTCCTAATAATAAAGAAGTTGACATCCATAAATTATCTTCCTTGAGATGTCTTGTGATTATGGAAATGATTCTTCTTGTTATTAATACGTGTTCTAACATAATACGTTACAGCATCGGGGTCTGACCAAGAAGGTGTTTACCACGAACTTGATCATTCATCTCCTAAGGCGTCACCAGACCACCGTACGAGTAAGAGCTGTACATGTACATCGACTGCGAGACCCCGGGTTCCATTGTGTCCACACGTGGGCACAATATGAGCAGGCCATTCCTTACTTTCCGAATATGTACTTTAATAAGTCATATGTTACAACATCCGTCATATTTGAGTCATGACAGAACTGTGATTATTTCCAAAATACTTTCAAGACATCATATCTCGATGTCTTCTTGAATTAGTGACAAGCGACATCTACCACTTTTCAAACATTGTTAACCAAGATATCTAAGATCTGTTTCTTTACCTATCTTATCTTTTCTTTGAACTTTTTAATAAAATGTCAGTCAGACTTGTTTTGTACAATCTAATTTAGATGAAGACGTATTGTTGTTTCAATACACTTATTCTGCACGATAGACGATCAGGCTACAGTGTCAGGGCACACGTGCACGTTAGGTGTGTTTCGGGGACCCGTGCCACTAACCAGTCTTACTGCTAGGGCTGTCGTAACTCCTTTTCAATCCGATCACTTTTGGACCAGGGGGCATATCTCACTCCGTCATTTCTTATACCTGCTGTGGCATCATTCATGAGATATATGGCAACATTGCCTAGTCCACGATCAGTGCATACTTAACGTTGACGATCAAAATGAAACCACACATGCACCTGTTTCTAATCCTGCCTTTATGGATATATCTTTGCCAGTCCCGACCCGGTGCCACAAACCCAACACTATAACTGTCGTAATTCACAATATCAACGTCGACGTACGATAGCCGTAGAGCTAAGCTCGCTTTGTGGAATGACCCCCCAGTAACACAAGTTTCATGATCCAATTAAATCGGCTATTGAACAAGCCACTATTAATATATAGTATTTCAACTTAACTATTGCCCTCTTTCACTCTCTTTCTTGATGTCTCAGGCTACGTCCGGGGTAGAATAGGTCTTCAGCAACCCATGCTTGCCGTAAAAGGCGACTATGTGACTATGTGACTAAAATGACAGTCATACAGCCTCTGATATTAGCATTACAGCTGTCCCAGACCCGTAAAGACCTGGGTCAGAATAAGTCTTCAGCAACCCATGCTAAGCTTATCGTAAGAAGCGACCAACGGGATCGGGTGGCCAGGCGTGGATCGATGAGCATGATGTCAATCACTGGATTGTCTGGTCCAGACTCGATTATTTCAAGACCGCCGTCATTTAGCTGGAATATTGCCGATCGCGGCGTTACACAACAAACAAATTAACAAACCAGGTTTCGTCACATATTTACCAACGGTGTCAATCATTACTGTCTCATTTCAGTGCAAGGGGAACATTCAGTCCCAAATCCTTACCTGACGGCCATCCCAGGAACCCCTGAGCTCCCAGGCCGGTCGGTTCATAGACCAGATCGAGAAGAGGCTGGAAACTCTCCCGGGACAGCGAATGACAACAATGACATTGACGAGGCAGGCACAACATAGAGGTCGTTGTGAAAAAAACTGCGCAATGCGTCCATGCGGATGTCAGTGAGCAGAACCCACGGTGCTATTTTCCGTGCGCTACTCTCTGTACATTTTCATTCAAAATCATAGTATATATATCTTTATCAGCTGTTTTTAAGGTTTGTGTGTTGGATCTAAACACGTTTTACAGTGTGATCCATGATGTGTCCGTATTAATAGCACATATGTCTAGATAATTATCTATACAATATTACATACATGCATATATTCATTCACTATGCCGCTTTGATATGTACAATATGAGATTATTATTATTTGATACGTATTGCTATGTCCATGATCGAGGAGTTGTAGCTGTAGTGAGACGAGTGATGATTTATGGTATGAGTTATGACCACCTTTAGAAATGTGTCAGGACAACTTACATGTCTTGGTTTTGTTTACCTATCGAATCGTAGTTTGACTACCCATGGCCATTTAGAGGTATGAGTTATGACCACCTTTAGAAATGTGTTAGGACAACTTACATGTCTTGGTTTTGTTTACCTATCGAATCGTAGTTTGACTACCCATGGCCATTTAGAGGTATGAGTTATGACCACCTTTAGAAATGTGTTAGGACAACTTACATGTCTTGGTTTTGTTTACCTATCGAATCGTAGTTTGACTACCCATGGCCATTTAGAGGTATGAGTTATGACCACCTTTAGAAATGTGTTAGGACAACTTACATGTCTTGGTTTTGTTTACCTATCGAATCGTAGTTTGACTACCCATGGCCATTTAGAGGTATGAGTTATGACCACCTTTAGAAATGTGTTAGGACAACTTACATGTCTTGGTTTTGTTTACCTATCGAATCGTAGTTTGACTACCCATGGCCATTTAGAGGTATGAGTTATGACCACCTTTAGAAATGTGTTAGGACAACTTACATGTCTTGGTTTTGTTTACCTATCGAATCGTAGTTTGACTACCCATGGCCATTTAGAGGTATGAGTTATGACCACCTTTAGAAATGTGTTAGGACAACTTACATGTCTTGGTTTTGTTTACCTATCGAATCGTAGTTTGACTACCCATGGCCATTTAGAGGTATGAGTTATGACCACCTTTAGAAATGTGTTAGGACAACTTACATGTCTTGGTTTTGTTTACCTATCGAATCGTAGTTTGACTACCCATGGCCATTTAGAGGTATGAGTTATGACCACCTTTAGAAATGTGTTAGGACCACTTATATGTTTGGGTTTTCTGACCACCTGTACAGAGATTGGTTATCACCTCATATTGGTTAGTCTTTGACTACATACGGAGATGGGTTATGATCACTTATAGTAATGTGTTACCTGTCGAAATGATTAGTGACCTCCCATCGATGACCACTTGTTATTTACGGCGGTGTTATGACACTTATAGAGCAATATAGTCCTAGGCCAAATGCAAGAAATGTGCCTATCTTTTAGGATATCAATGAAGCAGTAACAGTGTTATCCAGTAACTTGTATGGCACCTTCCATACTCCAGAAATTTCTCTCAGTATGGAACTAGCCACAGAATGTATCAGGTTACTATAAGCATACAAGGTGTTCCCAATTGCTTGACCCACACAACCCCCATGGCTCAGACACAGCATCACATGCAGACAATGAGGATATAGGTTACTACGTAAGTGGTTCACTAAGTAGTTTAACAAGATAACTAACATTAAACAATAACAGATAGGAAAGAAAACATTCTATCTTATCTTGAGAAAAAGCAAAGAAATAACAAAGGGATATTTGTTCATATGTAAACATTCTTTTGCCTAATTGTACTTGATGTCTATAAATCTCCTGGTCTCTTTTACCTCGCTTATAATTACAACCAAACTTTGAAACACCTTTTCGTCTACATGCTCTCATTGTTTATTGTGCTATTCACCATGTAGGTACTTGGTATGTGATAATATAGATAAGATACGTTAATATTTATTGCTGAAAACATTCCATTACGGAACAAATACAGTATTTAAATGAAAAAAAACATTATGATTTATACATACACAATACAGACATACAAACACGTAAACACAAAGGAATCACAAGAAACACAAAGAAAATATTAGTATTACATGTTTGAAATGTCATTGGTTGATTATGATCAATGGGTATTAATTGCTTGAATGTGTAGATATGTATTTTAGAGGATGTGGCGAAATAAATTATTTTCATTATTGAGGACCTAAACGTTTTGTTTGTATAATTTTCTTTTTTTGAGTGTGTTTGGTACAGTGAAGAAGGTAGTGTTTTTTATCATCAGTTGTTGAACATGTGAAAGTTGAGGTGAGGTGAAATTGGGTTTAACGTCGCGTCCAAGAGTATTGCACCTATATAGCGACGTGCATGCACGTGTGTGTCTGTGGCTGCTTGTACTAGTCCGGACTGATGCCGATTTATAGTGCTAGCTCACTGAGATACCATGCCGCATTTTAATATGAATACCCCACTCAGACACAGTATACTGACTCCGAGCCGACCAGTCCTTGTTTTAGCCCCTTAATGTCGAGCGCCAGACAGGGTAACAGCAAGTACCATCTTTTAACGTCTTTTGGTATGACGCGGCCGGGCGGACGCTCTACCACAAGACCACGGAGGCGGCGGTTGAACATTTAAAGCATAGTCTTTGATGTAGTGGGGTCGGTGGTTTTGTATGTCTTCCAATTTCTGTAGTTTATCTATGGTTACTTAATCTTAGTTTAGAAAAGTGTTCTCGATATTTTCATATTTTACAGTGACTGAGATAAGGTTCTTATTTTGTTTCATCTTTAACAACTATCCTATATGTCCTAAGTTTGTTTCCTGTGCGTTTAGTTGCATTAGCGTCTGAAGAGTTTCCGTGAAGAGAGAGCCTAATTTAGACTTTATTGTCTCTTTGAATGTTGGTGATAGAAAAACTGAATTACTTATAATATCATGTATTTATAAGAATGGATTGAGTTGGTATACCAATCCTATTTGTTAATTCACCAAAGATGTACTTTCAGCAATAGCATTCTGTATTATGTTTTTATTTTACATCTTCCCGAGGCAAGGGCGTTAACTGACTGTAAAAGTCCACACGTGTCCACACTTGAAACAGGCATGAATTTCAAGGCTCGATCGTAGCGACCCCAATGGCTATTGCGAGGTATTCCCTTCTATGTCCCTCCAATTGGCCAATCAGATTCCACCTCTCATATCACTTGCAACTGTTTCAAACAAAATGGCGGCACCAAATCAAGACGAATACATAATTCCGACCTGGAGCGCTGCTCTCCTGCACTGCCGAATAGCTTGACGCTAGGGCGCCATCTTGTCCCCAAAGCGCCAAGGTTTTCCAAGGCCCTTACAGCCACATGTTGTATAGGGGTCTTTGCGCGAGGGCGACTTTTTTAAGTTAAGGTATTCACATAAAGACGAATCGCGGTGCACTTTGAAGTTTTTTTGAATATGGACGAGGTCTGAAATGGGTTAAGAACAACAAGGGACGCTCGGGCACACGCCAATGTTGTAGCGGCGATGTCCCGCAAACGATGCCTAACTTTTGACGGCGTCGGTACAAGCAAACTATTTGAGGATTTGATTATGGACGAATATTTTTGGGTACGTTTGTACGCGCGTCACTTAGAGCCAGCCATTGCTGCTTGCATCTATATCCTAATTTAGATACATAATTTGCTGAAGCTATTTGCATTACATTCGCGATTTCTACCCCGCCCCGAAGGTGATTTGATGTATACAATCGGCAAGCTAAATGCAGGAGGTTTATTGTATTGAAGATGCGGGGTGCACTACGAAACATTGAAAAGGAGCATTGAGAATTGTCAGCGACATACCGACACAAGAGGGAACAAACCATGCATGTCAGTTCATGAGCAGTGTTCCCTATTTACCACGACTGCTTTTATTGTACGTGTATGAGTGAGCAGTGTTTTGCTTTATATAAGATTATGTAAAATACTTTACATTGTAAAAAACGGGTCTTACCTCGCGAAGTGCATCAAATCATTTGAGCACTTTGATTAAGAACATGAATAGATTTGCAAAATATCTGTCGACGCCCAGTTGGCGGTACACATGCTTTGCAAATCCTTCAGTCATGGATTTACAAAATCTCAGTTGCAGTTTCTCGAGGATGAATGAGTTGTTCAGGAAGATTTCACTATTAAATAGGATTACTGGCTCGATTAATTTTTTTTTCAGGAGAGGTTTTGCGCGATTTTAAAGTTTACCATTTGCTTCTAATGTAATACCCAGACAGTTATATTTATCCGTAACTAGTATTTTGTATCACCCACGCTCCAAGTATTCTTTTCTTCTATTTCACCTGATTTGCCAAACACTACAATATTTGTTTTGTCACCTTTAATCGTTAGGTTATTTGTTGCACAAATAACCTTAGACCATCAAATTACATTTGAAGTGTGTTGCTTTTAATCGGCGAATAGTACTAAGTCATCGGCAAACAACAAATGACAAATGATTGAACCATTAGGTGTGATATTATTACTATCAGATTTGATATCGTGGACGATCATTGATGAATATATTAAATAATGTGGGACACAAAATGCCTCCTTGTCTTACCCCGATGTTGGAGATAAAGAATTGTGAAATGCCCTTGTCAGTTTTCATATTATAAGAGATATCATTACATAGTGATGATATTATTTTTAATACATTTCCTGAGATTTTATTTGATGATAGCTTTGTTAGGAGTAGTGTTCTGTCAACTTCATCAAATGCCTTTTAAAAGTCTACAAAGTTAGTGCATAGTCTTTTCTTTTTACTTTTTGTAGAATGTATTAATGTTTAAAGAACAAATACATTATCAGATGTTCGGTAGGCCCCTCTAATCCAGACACAGTGGTCTTGTCATAGAGTTTTGTTTTCCATTTGTTCCTTTATTCTTTCATTTAATAACTTGCAAACTAGTTTACCTAAGCTGCTGCTTAGATCACGAAAAGTGCTTGAATTTGCTTGCAAAGCATCGCCTGTGAAGAACAGGATTTAAAAGAAAACACCCTGCCTCACGGGAAAGCATAAGGGAAGCAACTCATACATCTGTGTGTTCGACAACCCCACTCTTAATACATATTACTTACTGGCCGACTATTGATCATAATTGTGACCCACAATCATTATTGAATACTTAAGGCTTCATCCAAATTCAAATCTTTGGGCGACCAACACACTGCACTTACAGTAGCCATAGTAAAGTATCTCTAAATGTCCAGTTTGTGCATATATTGTTAAAGATACGCCTGTAGCTTGTTCTTTAGCTCCCGCATTATGTTGCTGAGAAAAAGATGTGTATGTTGATCTCAGGACGCACGAATGGTAACCAAAAGCATTCATATAGTGTATAATGTAAACATATTTCATTTAGTAATGAATTACGCTTTTGACCAGCCCTCGTATAAGCCGGGTTGTTGAGAAGCTCTGAATCAGTGTAACTTTATCATTTGTATTTGATGTGCCAATGGAAGTAGCGTCTGCGAAAAGACGAGCAGAATTCTCTAGATTATCAGCGAGATCATTCATGTAAACCCAAATCAAAAAGGGCCCTGCGACTTAGCCCTGTGGGACACCGGCCTCAGTAAATCATAAAAATGAAAAGTTGCCATTTACAAAAACCTTTTGTCTCAACACGGTATGAATATTTTATAACGTGCGACATTCCAGAACAACAGTGTTTTTTCTTAGCTTTATTCTGACTGTAATGGACAAGTTATGATACTGTATTACCGACGAATTAAGGCTATGTAATAGTGTCATTCAATGTATATTTGAATGGTGCTAGTTGTATCGCTATATTTGGATCACTAAGGCGACAGGTTCTATCTGGACATACGTTACATCATCGCTTTTATCTAGGTTAGGAATCATTAATGAATGGATAATGTTAATCTTCCATAGCCATGATCAGAGAAAACCTGAGTATTTGAACATCTATAATTATCTATTTTCGCCTGTGTATATTCTATACGGTGCCCATGCTTGAATGGTAATTTTTATATTGTCTGTATATATAGATGTGTTAGTGTCATGCGTCTGACATGTATCTCCATGGCGTAACTAACATGTGTAGCCATGGGTTTCAATTCACTTGTATGCATAATATGTCTTTCACACATATATATGATACATTTAGTGTTAGTGTCATGCGTCTGACAGGTATCTACTACATGTGTAGTCATTTGTACATTACACTTGTATGCATACTTCGACTTTCTCACATATAATAGATACAATTTACTTGTGTTAGTGCCATGCGTCTGACGGGTTTCTACAAAGCGTATCTAACATGTGTAGTTATTGGGTATATTATACTTGTATGCATACTTCGACTTTCACACATAGATATGCTACATCTTACTTCTGTTAGTGTCATACGTCTGACAGGTATCTACATAGCGTATCTTACATGTGTAGTTATGGGGTATATTACACTGGTATGCATACTTCGACTTTCACACATATGTATGCTACATCTTACTTGTGTTAGTGTCATGCGTCTGACAGGTTTCTACATGGCGTATCTTTCATGTGTAGTTATGGGGTACATAACATGTGAAGGCATACTTCGTCTTTCACACATAGATATGATACATCTTACTTGTGTTAGTGTCATGCGTCTGACAGGTTTCTACATGGCGTATCTTACATGTGTAGTTATGGGGTATATTACACTGGTATGCATACTTCGACTTTCACACATAGATATGATACATCTTACTTGTGTTAGTGTCATGCGTCTGACAGGTTTCTACATAGCGTATCTTACATGTGTAGTTATGGGGTATATTACACTGGTATGCATACTTCGACTTTCACACATAGATATGATACATCTTACTTGTGTTAGTGTCATGCGTCTGACAGGTTTCTACATAGCGTATCTTACATGTGTAGTTATTGGGCACATTGCATGTGAAGTCATACTTCAAATGTCACAATAGATATGCTACACACTACATAAGTTGCTTTTCTTAAGCATAGTGCACCCTAATATAAAGACGTGATACATATTACCTATGTTGACACGGTGTATCTTATCTATATTGCCTCTTAAGGTGTAGGCATAGTTTCATCCTGTGTTTGACATGGTGTAACTTACACTTGTTTGTATGCCTCGCCCTTACATTTTACATGTAGGCAGCATTCAGATATTCATGGACAAAAGATATGTATTAAAAGAT